ACGGTTTTTCAATGGGATCCTGGGATTTTTTTCGCAGGACCGGTGGTGAGGATGGAGACAAATTGATGATTGTAATTGTATAATTCGTATGCACCACATTGGATGATTGGATGTATGAATGATCCATATGTTATATATATATATATGTGTATATATGTATACATATATATATATATAAAGATATTTAATACACACGAATCCCATCCATTATAGATGATTATAATTGATGACTATCCCATAGTACCATTTTTCCCATAGAAACCATGGGATCATCTTTGATGGATCGGATTTACTTGATGGTCGTCCTTGATGGACCTATCAATATGGTATGTTCATGTTAACCATAGGAAAACCATAGGAAAACCATAGGAAAACCATAGGAAAACCATAGGAAAATGGTGGTTTAATGGGATTTAATGGGATATACCCTCTGGTAATTTAACACATAGCTATTGAACATGGCCATAGAAATAGTGGATTTTCCCACTAAAAATGGTGATTTTCCATATAGTTATGTAACAGTTTACCAGAGGGTAGATAGATTTTCATGTTCATCTGATGTTCCTTGATGTTTCATATTTATTTCATGTTCATGATATATAAAATATGTTCTATCTGATTTTCAGGACATTTTTTTTTCGATTTTACGATAGTTTAGCATTTATTGTTTCCACTGATGTCCCATCTTTAGCCAAAGGTATTTGAAGTTTTACCATAGATTTAATGTTGGAAACATATCCAATTTACGATATTTTACCTCTATGTCCAATTCTAATTCGGAAGATATTTGATATTTTAGCCAATGATGTTCCCATATTTTCCCATGCTTTCCCCATGTTTTCCCATGTTTCCCCATGTTTTCCCATGTTTTCCCCATGTTTTTCCCATGTTTTCCCCAATGATTAGCATTTTTTCACATGAATTTTCCCATAGGATTTCCCCACGATTTCGGATCTGGGCGCCTTGCGCTCCGCCTTGCGGCCGCCACCAGGCTCTGCTGTCCAATTCTGTGGTCCTGAAACAGGTCGGCGTTTTTTCATGGGGAGAATATGAGAGAATCACCACTTACCCTCTGGTAATTTAACATAGCCATGGTATATATGGCCCATTTCTAGATGATTTTCCCAGCTAGAAACCTCCATTTATTTCAGGGATTTTCCATGGCTATGTTAAATAACCAGATGGTAGTAGTTCTGATTAAACATCCTCAGATTATATAATAAATATTGACTAATGATTAGTTGACATATCCTAAATATTAAATATCCTCAGATATCATTGGAAATATGAGGGAATCACCAAGTGGTATATTAGTTATCCATGATATGAGTGACTACTATAGTAATGATATTTGTGATTACTACTGATATGAGTTATGACTAGTTATGATAATATGAGAGAACCACTTAGTAGTTCTGATTAGTATATCACAATATTAGCCAGACATAAACCAAATAATAAGTTTATAAGTTATAAGTAAGATTAAACTTTACATCCATATATATATATATATAATTTTTGATTAGTATATTAGTATAGATAATTAAATCGGGATAATTAGCACAAATGATATGATTAGTATATACACTTATTTTTTGTATACCATATCCAATCATATGTGTGTATGATATTATCACAATCATTGGATAATTACACACGATATGATTGGTAAAACCACTTAGTAGTTATCACTTAGTAGTGGTTAAATATGATAACACTTAGTTATCACTTCATACAATATGATTGGCTATCATATAATATCATGGTGAAAGAAGAACCACTTAGTAGAGATTATATTATTGTGATAATATCATACACATATGTTTGGAATGCCAATGATAATATATTCACCAGAATTTTAGTGTGAATAATTTCATCATATTGCCACGGTGAAGATTATCCTAACGATATAGCCAATAATGTGATTATGAGATAATTCTAGTATGATGAATTTCATAATTCTTGTGATAATCACGGAATGCGATCTATTTAGCCTATTTGGTGTTATTATCGCAAAACTAAGTGGAAATTTTATACTATTATCCAATTACTAAGTGTATCATCCCAATACTATTTTATCACTTAGATACGGAAAATTCATCGAGTCCTGTGCTTTGAGCACTGGGTATTCCATGGGTGATCAAGCCCCAAGTCATGATACCAAAAAATCATCCCATTAAAAGCTCATGGTTTTCCAATATCATCCCATGAAACATCACCATTTGTTATTGGTGAAGTCAGCCTTTTTCCTATAGTTATCCCATTGAAATCCCATCATTTGTCCCATATACCCTCTGGTAAACTAACATATATATGAAAAAATCACAATTTTCATAGGTGAATCAAATATCAATGGACAATTTTTTCTATAGATATGTTAGTTTACCAGAGGGTAAATCCTCAGTTCCCATGGTTTTCCCATGGTTTTCCTAGTGAGCTGCTTAGCTGCAGGACACGAGGTGCTGCAACTGGTACTCGGATCTGTCCGCTTCCTGAGCTGTTTTTTTCTGCTGCAAAGAATATAGGGAACAACAATAATGGTTATATAACCACTACTAAATAATGTTACTTAACCATAATTGTTGCTTAGTAGATACCTTCTGGTTACCCTATCTATCATGAATGGGTATTATCAACATTAGTAAGTAACATTATTATTCGTATTAATAATACCCTCTAGTTATTCAACATAGCCATGGTATAGATGGCCCATAGAAATAGTTGGTTTACCGAACTTAAACATGGCCATTTTCCACGGCTACGTTAGTTTACCAGAGGGTACCCTCTGGTAAATTAACAGTTCGACCCTGAAAATCACTCATTTTTAGTGGAAACTAATCTTCCAAATCCTATCTGGCAGGGTCGAACTGTTAATTTACTGGAGGGTAGATGGTTTTATGGGAATATCATGGGAATAGAATGGGAATATAACCAACAATACGGGGATATCATGGGATAAGATAGGATGTATATATAATTATATATATATAATGATATATATATATATAATCCATGTATATCAATGAGATCTAATGGGATAACATGCCTTTAATGGGTGTTTTTTATGCAACAAAAAGGGAAATTTTCATGGCTTGCTCGGTATGAAATGGTCCCATCCCCGGTTCATAACAAATCACCCGCGTTTAGAATGGTCCAGCTGTGATTTCATCCCGTACATCCATTCAATGGCCATTTCAGGAGCCGATTGATTGAGGTACCTACCATATACCCTCTGGTAAACTAAGAGTTTGCTATTGAAAATTGCCATTTATAGTGGATTTACATGGATTTACCCAGTAAAAATGGTGCCATAGTTACGTTAGTTTACCAGAGGGTATGTTTGGCCCATTTTTCAGGCCTGAATTTCAGGGAATATCCCCAGAAAATATGGCCAAACATATGCGACTAACGTTGGCCAAACATTTTAGGATCCTGAAATTCCCATGGATGTACCCATATCCAATTAGTTTCCATGATCTCCAATTAATTGTTTGCATGATATGGCTATGGGCTATGGATCAATATGGATCAATACCTATAGATACCATCATGGTCACATTGGTGGGAAGGGATCATGATTTTTCACACCTTGGGGATTCGGAGTGGCCGGCAATTTCAACTGTGGGACATCCTATTGAATAAGCCGAATATTTGGGGATGGTAAACATAGCACCCATGATTTTGGGGATGGTTTATGGTTTTGGGTTTACCACATTATCTATATTTACATGTTTTCCAGCTCCAAAAAACTTGAACTTGTGGATGAGTTGATCCATTGACCACTTAAAACGTCAGGCCTTGTGGGCATTCGTGATGTTTTTTAGTCGACTTATATTATATGGTAATCATTTCCACTGTTCCAAGTTTCGCAAACCAACATGCTGGGTAAATTTGATCACGACCGAAGCCTGTCCTCCCGAACCCTGGAATCATGCTTAGGATTCGGGGAATCATCCCCAAGATAGCCGAACTTTTCAGGTTAGTGAGTTATTATGATTTACCCAGAAATATGGTACCAATAGTTACTATCTATAGATGGCTATATATATATACTGTACATATGGTATATATGGTAACTAACTACATATATGGCTATATATGGTGTATATATATATATATATATATGGTACCCCCCCCCCTGGTACCTACCTTTCCTTGATTTATACTGTAAATTACAGTATAATTTGCTTATTTTCATATGTTGAATTTGATAGGTTTTTTATATTGAGTTTCTTGAGACATGAGTTCAGACTTGAGTTCAGACTTGACTTCAGACTTGAGTGTCATAGTCTCGATTCCTGCTACCCAAGATCCAAGATCCAAGATTTCCAGAAAGCTTTTTATATTGAGTTTCTTGAGACATGAGTTCAGACTTGAGTTCAGACTTGACTTCAGACTTGAGTGTCATAGTCTCGATTCCTGCTACCCAAGATCCAAGATCCAAGATTTCCAGAAAGCTTTTCTTGGAAATCTTGGGATAAACCCAAGATCCAAGATCCAAGATTTCCAGAAAACTTTTCTTGGATGCACTTGCAGAATCTTGGATGCACCCAAGATCCAAGATCCAAGATTCCCAGAATTTTTTTCTTGGATGCAGGCTGGAAATCTTGGATGCACCCAAGATCCAAGATCCAAGATTTCCAGAAAACTTTTCTTGGATGCACTTGCAGAATCTTGGATGCACCCAAGATCTTGGATCTTGGGTTTATCCCAAGATTTCCAAGATTTCCAAGAAAAGTTTTCTGGAAATCTTGGATCTTGGATCTTGGGTGTATCCAAGATTTCCAGCCTGCATCCAAGAAAAAAAATCTGGGAATCTTGGATCTTGGATCTTCGGTGGCAGGCTTTGAGGCTTGAGTTCGGACTTAAGTTCAGACTTGAGATCAGTGTACATATGTGTAGACAGAAACTCTCCGACAAACAATGTCTGTGTGCCTCGGTCTGAGCTTCGCTCTTGGCTCTTTGAGATCTCGTATCCTCGTGTCATCGCATCCGGCCTCATGTCGATCCCCGTTGCCGGAAGTGTGCTTCTGCGCGACAATCAGGCCGTTGTTGTCTTGTCGGTGGCACAGGATGGCGCGGCGGCTCCTGGGGGACCTGGTGGGGGACCTGCAGACAACCTACAAATGCTGCTGAATCAAGTCCTCGCCGGGGACCATGCAGTACATGAAAGTAGACAACCACTTGCGCGAAAGCACCTAGCGGCAATGGTCTGCAACATTCAGAAAGGACTCCGACTGGCCCCTGTCGGATTGCTGGGCAGCTGGAGTCCTGACGCCTCACGAAAGCTCCTACATGCCCTGGCTCTCCCCAAAGTGATCCGTCCCAAAAAGGAGACTGCCACAGCCTCCCAACCTGCGCCTCGGCTGATTGGACTTCAGAACATGTGTTCCATGTCTTGAGTACACTAACACTCGTTATTTTCTCGGGGCCGAAGTCGCCTTACGTACTTTGGTTCTCCGCGCGTGATTATACAGTTACGAAGACATGTTCGGTATGATCATATGCCTTCTGTCATTTCTCGCTCTCTCAGGTCTTGCAGCTGACGAATGGTACTTCATCCTCGTCGACGTCGTCCACGTCTGACTCTTCCTCTGACTCTGACTCCTCGTCGGCATCAGAAGAAGAGCAATGGCAAGGAGTACCGAACCCGTCTTTAGGCGTTGCACCTGAAGTTGATACTGAGTACGAGTACGTGCCCAACCCGGCCCTCAACATTGCCCCCCCCTCGGCTGTAGGTGGCGTCGTGGACAGTCCAGAGGAGGTTGCAGGATCCAATGGGAGCGCAAGTGTGGCATCTTGGAATGAGGGTGTGCTGGGTGCCGGCAGCGCAGGAGAGCAGGACAACGGGCAGACTCTGGAACGTCCACTGAAAATCCAGAGGTGCAGCTTGTGTCATGACTTTGATGATTTGTTGGAGACGTATCTTGAAGCGGCGGACGAGTTGGAGAAAACACAGCAGAAAGTGCTGGAGTTGCAGGCCATTTTAGCATCGCAGCAGAACCGTACAGGATAGAGGGGTCTGCTTCGAGCCTGCGAGAGCGGCTGAGCCAGAGACATCGGCGGCGGATGAAAAAGATTGCGCATTCGCGAAGACACGGAGCACGATGCAAGACACATTGCCATGTAACCTTTGAAACAGGGAAGGGGAAGGTGGGAGGATAAGTTCGAAGTGTAGCAAACTTAATAAGTTTAGACTTGGTTTCAGACTTTGTTTCAGACTTGGTTTCAGACTTGGTTTCAGACTTGATTCCAGACTTGAGTTTATACTTAGTTGACTGCGTCTCCCAGCACTCGTCTGCTTCGTTCCCATTGCTTCTGCATATCCATCTCTTCTGCAACGCTTCTACGCTCATAGTATCGTGCCCCCTCTGTGCGCCTCGCTGGGTCTAGTCTCTCTGTGTCCTCACCATGGCGACTGAGATCATCGATGAAGCGATGCGGGTCTACGGTGGGAAGCAGTGGCGCTTTGAAAGTTTGGCGGCCCCGCGCTGTGAATCCAAAACAAGTGCCAGCATCGAGAACCCCATGAGCATATCTGACTTCCTCTCTTGCTGTCGTCCACTCAATGGTCTCAGAGCAGCTACAATGATGTTAGTGGATGTGCAGCAGGATGTGGAGAATTGTGGTTCTGCCGAAAATGTTGCAGCGGTCTGCCAGGAGCAAAGGATCGAGAGTCTACCAGCTGCATTGCAGTTTGCTCATGCCTTACCAGCTCACTCAAAGGTTGGGTGTATTGCCATGGAGAAAGGCCACGGGAAATTGGATGTAATCAAGCTTGTGACTTTCCAAGACAAGATGGCGATTCGGGACGCCACGAAAATTCCTGCAGGATCTGCCTACGTTCCTTTCTCTCGTCCAGGTCCGTGGGCTGTCAAGAAGGCTTTCCAATCCTTATTGGACCGCCTGCCTGGACATCATGTGCACTGGGGCACAGTGACGAGATGGGAGGCACAAGCGAAGAATAGTGCAAGCTCTTCATCGACATGGTCCCCAGACACTGACACTTTACTCCAAGGCGTGGCCTTTATCAATGACCATGCGCCTGAGACGGATGCCAACAATGAGCAGTATACATGGATTTTACTCAACATCCGAGAAGATGCGGAGAGTTGGTTGGCCAGAAGGCAAAGTGAGGATCATGGCACAAAACAAGTCCAAGGCTTCCAATGGTGCCACATTGCAGAAGGGCTTCCCCTTGACCACTTTCTCATTGAAACCCTTCTTAGCTGAGAAGTTATTGCCTGTCCTGTACCCACTTTTCGTCTGCTACGGGGTCGTAGCTTTGGGCTGGCCCGGGGTTGGCAAAACTCCTGCCTTGATTGCTGTGATTCTTGCTATGGGCAGATATCATATCCACAGGTTGCAAGAAGAAGATGCTGTGCCAGGATGGAGAAGAGCCAAGTCACTTGATAACTTTCGGCATCAAGTGGCCAATGTGTACGAGGGCATCTTCCTGGACGACCCCAACCGTGAGAATGTCTCCATGGCCGACCTCAAGTCCTTCTTGACTGTGGAAGAAGAGCAAACTACGTCGGGTCGCTGCAATGACGCAAAGCTCACGAGGAATTGCATGAGAGCTTATGCGTCGAATGACTTGGACCGTGAGGATGAGCCATTAGATGACTCACGCATCTTCATCACGGGCGAGGAGTTCATGAAGATGACCAGACGTCTTTTTGCACAATCAGGATCCAGAGGCCCCAGTACATCGAATCCAGGTGGATGAGCTGCACAAAGACCTCCTCTCCGAAAAGGACAAGCCGCTCTATTCCAAGTACAAGCTCGGTATCGTGGAGTATGGCCCTCAGTGGGAACAGGAAACCCAGCAAGAGGTCCGCACAATCTCTCTGGGCATGGAAAAGTTTGCCGCCGGACGACCGGAAGTCTACATCAAAGATGCCAACGAGAAGATCGAAGCCGAGCTGTGGCGCGCCCGCCTTGCACAGTCAGTCCGTCTCTCTGACAGGCCAGAAGGAGAATCGTCTCAGGAAGAAGAAACTGTTCTGCCACCTCCGCCAGTCATCATTCCAAATCCGGCCTTGCGCTGCCATCGGATTGGGCAGTTCCGCTATCCACCTGCCAAGCGTCTGAGAACCAAAAGTCGACCAGAGGAGGCTCCTGCAGATGGTTCATCAGCCGACTTGGAAGCCTTGGCCCAGGCTGCTGAGATGGATGCGGTAGAAGAGTGGCAAGAATCTACTGGTCCAGATGGAGATGACTTCGAGGCGGACACAGAGGCTGCAATCTTCCTCCATGAGTGAGCCGGGAATGCCGTCGTGTGGCATGTACATATAGTACAATATGGGGAGCGACATCTGCTCGCAGTAGCGGGCGATAAAAAGAAGCTGTGCGTGTTGCTGTTGGGAAGACATAAGCAAGATAACATAGAACGTGTGTACGTGCTTGTCTTGCAACAATCATGCCCTCCCAGCAGTTGGCAGCATTCGACGGGTAATATAAACATATGAAGGAGCTTGTGTCACTTCACTGGTCCAATGTGGTCATCGCATACTTGTAACCGATCAGCATTGTTATGTTTTCTTCTACCAGAAGCTTTTGGATCTTAGGGAAACAAGCATTCCCATAGTAGAGAGTATGGCGCCGCGCTTCAACCCCATCATTGCGAAGAAGGGCAAGACACGGCAAGTTTTGAAACGGCCTGCTTACCTCAAGCCAAAGAAGAAGGCGAATTGGCAACGAGTTCCTTATGTTCGTGATCCTGAAGCTGTGAAGCAGGTGCGGGGGGATCGAGACTCATGGAAAAGGTCATTGCCAGAGCTCTTGACATGCTCGCCCCGTGCGTTAGTGGAGCTGTTGCGAAAAGATGGTTTGCTACCTCGTTTGGAAGGGTCCGTTTGTCCTCGCTGTCAGCATGGAACCCTGGGGAAGTTGGCTCCTCAGAGACAGGGCGGCCCACCGAAACATAGGTGCAATGCCAAAAACTGTCAGGCATATATCAGTCCTCACTATGCCCATCCTTTGTTTGTGGACCATTGGGGCAAGTCACATACTCCACTTTCAACGCAGGCAGCCTTGCTGCTGCTCTTGCTGAACCGTGTGCCACATGCAGCCATCCACCGCCTTATGTATGTGAATCACAAAGCCATTGAAGACATGCAGAAGAGGCTGTATACACTACGTGAAGCTTACGTCCTGGAAAAGGAGAAGGAGATTTGCTTTGGACGAGGACATGAATGGGCAGATGTGGAAGCTGACGAAGCCACGTTTGCCAAAAAGATTGTTCAAGGGCAAGTCCAATGGGAGCAGTGGTGTGGCATAGTGCAGCGAGGCAAGCCGGGTACGCTTGTGCTGCACCGCCTGAAACCTCCGCTGGCAGCACTGCGCGCTCCGGGCCCGGGAGCAGTGCGCAAAGTCGAGTGGAAGCCAATTGCCAAAAAATGGCTGGAGGGAAAAAATGTGATTCTACACACAGATTCTGCGAAGAGTTACCGGGCACAAGTCCCAGGTATGTTACACGACCGTGTCGTACACAAGAAGACACGAGTAAAGGTGGGCAACAAATTTCGATGGGTGGCTCCGAAGTATGTCGAGGTCCAAAAGCATCGTCTTCCTGGCGGCAAAGTCATGCAGGTGAAGTCCGGTACGCAGATCGTCGACCGATGCTGGCGTTTTTTAAAAGAACGCGTGACCTTGAACCAGCAGGCATGCGTCGGGGCTCGCATGCTTTGCATGCAATTGAGATCGGGCCAGTACGAGTACTGGAATCGAGGAAAAGACCTGTGGACATGCACAGGCGCACTTGTACAGTGGTATCTGGGGTAGATTACCGAGTGCGAGCGTGCGATGGCCAAAAAAAGGATGCTTCTTCTCTTCGCTATATCGTGGGAGCTACTGCGGTTGCAGGGGTCTTCGTCGAACCGTAGGCAAGTGCCACTCTTTACCTCAATATAATGTTATGCCTCAACAGCTTCATCCTTTTGAATCCACCCTTCCTAAAGTGTCAAGCACGTGAACCACGTGGTTCGTGCAAAGTACTTGCTGTAGTTTGCCCAAGTGAGAACTTGTAACGCAGCACTTTGTGCAAAGCCTTCATAGCTTCATCCTTTTGAACCCACCCTCCCTCAAGCATGTCGTGATTCGTGCAAAGTACTTGCTGTAGTTTGCCCAAGTGAGAACTTGTAACGCAGCACTTTGTGCAAAGCCTTCATAGCTTCATCCTTTTGAACCCACCCTCCCTCAAGCATGTAACCGTGATTCGTGCAAAGTACTTGCTGTAGTTTGCCCAAGTGAGAACTTGTAACGCAGCACTTTGTGCAAAGCCTTCATAGCTTCATCCTTTTGAACCCACCCTCCCTCAAGCACGTCCGTTTCGTGCAAAGTACTTGCTGTAGTTTGCCCAAGTGAGAACTTGTAACGCAGCACTTTGTGCAAAGCCTTCATAGCTTCATCCTTTTGAACCCACCCTCCCTCAAGCACGTGAACCACGTGGTTCGTGCAAAGTACTTGCTGTAGTTTGCCCAAGTGAGAATTGTAACGCAGCACTTTGTGCAAAGCCTTCATAGCTTCATCCTTTTGAACCCACCCTCCCTCAAGCATGTGACCGTGATTCGTGCAAAGTACTTGCTGTAGTTTGCCCAAGTGAGAACTTGTAACGCAGCACTTTGTGCAAAGCCTTCATGGCTTCATCCTTTTGAACCCACGCTCCCTCAAGCATGTAACCCACATGGTTCTTGCAAATGACTTGCTGCCAGCACAGATGTAGTTACGAAGAAAGGAAGGAATTAACAGTAAAAAGTAGGTATCAGGGGGGGGGTTAGCATATATATATATGGCATTATATGGCAACTATATATGGCTATATATTATATGGCATACCTGTTTACCCTGACCGTTTCTAGGTCATCCGAATGGATATCATCCAGTCGCTTCAAATCAGCCATTTTTCTTTTGTTGGTGAACACCCATGTCCGATGCAACCGACCATGTCGGGTTTCAATGATTTTTTTTTTAGTGTGGTTTCTTATATCCCCACACCCTAGGGCAATTTGATATACGGAAATATGGTGATCTATGGGAGATACCCTCTGGTTATTTAACAGTTCGCCATGGAAGCCATGGCCTATAGAAATAGATGATTTTCCCAGCTAGAAACCTCCATTTATTTCAAGGATTTTCCAGTTCGCTATATTAAATAACCAGATGGTATAAATGGAGAATCAGCATTTTTATGCATTGTCCAAAAAAAGTGAATCAGTACTGTTAATTTACTGATATCAGTTGCATTAACAAGCAACATCCTTTGAAGTGAACACATGTTTTCTTCTATGTTCGATGATGAGAAGGAATCGGTCCCGTTGTTCATAGATGTCATGGAGTGGTTGGTCATTAAATCCAAATTATATCCCATTATATAAATATAAATCCTATTAAAGTCCGATTAAACCAATGGTTGATCATCATAAACAAGAACAAACCTGTGGTTGGTCATTAAATCGCAAATCCCGGTAAAACCAACTTAAATCCTATGAAATCCCTTGAATATCTTAGTAAACCAACGGTTGTTGATGGTCAAATCCCATTGTAAATCCCATTATGTTCCATTGAATCTCACAAGCGTCATCTAAATCCCATTGAATCCCAATGATCTTCGATTAAAACCCTTTCAATCCCACTGAATCCTAAAAAATCCCAGTAAACCAATGATTTATCATCAGGTTTATTTTATCATTAAGAATTAAGAAACCATTAAATCCCAATGATCTCTGAGTCAATTCCACATAAATCCTATTTAACCCACTAAGATCCTAGGAAACCAGCAGTTGTTGATTCTCAATTTCCAGTGTAAATCCCATGAAATCGCACTAAATGTTTAAGTCTTAGGGAACCAATGGTTTATCATCAGGTTTATCATTAAGAAACCATAAGCAATCCCACTTTTTTTTCAATCCCACGATAAATTCCCATCAAAAATCTCAGGAAACCAAGGGTTTCATTCGATTTTCCTTCAGACTTCCCAGGCTCAGACACCGGGTTCATCTCATCCGCGTCCGTCGGGATTTGGCCGACCTGCCGCGGCAGGAGCGGGATCCACACGCAACGCGTGGGAAAAGCTGGGGGAAAATCGTGGATTTCAACGAGGAAAATATGGATCTAACTACAGGATGGGCCCCCCAGTTATAAGTTGGTTTATAAACCCTTATAATCCCCATTAACTATAATTATATCTACCATAAACCATTGTTAAGCCACTTATAAACCAACTTAGCTATCTTGGGGGGCCCATCCTGTAGGGAAAATTGGGATCTAACTAGGGAAAATTGGGATAAACTGAGGAGAATCCCTGATATTTCATGATTATAATGGTGATTTGAATGGGACTTCATGTTTTTTTCTCGTAATGGTTTTATTTTATGGAATTTAATGGGTTGAATACTGTTGGTTTTTAAACAAGGCAATTTAAGTTAATCATCAGTTTATTTGGGAATGGATAGGAATTGTGATTTATCATGGGACTTTTTTTTGACACTTTAATGCGATTTTTAGTGTGACTTTAGCCAACCAAAAAAAAACATGGGGAGATTTCACCATCAAGAAAGAAATTTCAGATCATGGATATATACATGGATATAGAATGGTATATATATATATAATAAATGGTGATTTTAATGATATGTTTTTTGATAATCAACAATGAAGGATACTTGGGGTATTCGCTGGAGGATTGAATGGAGGCTTTATTGAAATTCCCCTAAAAATGGAGGATCTAATGGGAAAATCGTCTATAAATGTGAGATTTCCAATTGACACAATTGATTACCGGAGGCTATTCTTGCCTTTTTATGTGTTGAATCTCTAAGTTGCTTTTTTTTCTGGCAACTCCACCATTCTTGTACTGTAGCAGAAGATGATCGTTCTCAAATCCTTACTTTCATTTGTTCAATCCCAATTTCTTGGGTTTAAAATCATGTTTAATCCCTAAAAGCATTGTTCTTTTAGATGATTCTACGTGTAAAAAAGATCTATTACCTTCTGGTTATTTCACATAGCCATGGGAAATGGCCCATAGAAATAGAGGTTTACCGAACTTAAAAATGGATGGATCTCTCCATGGCAAAATGTTAGTCATACCCAGAGGGTATCATGTTAAATCCGCCAAATTTGTTGTTTCCCATATTTTTTGCAAGTGAGATCCCCAAGTCTTACGTCATTTTTTTTTTCCAACGGTTTCTTCAAGTTTTTCCAATTCACACTTGTTAAGAATTTTTCCTAGATGTTTTCCCAAGTTTTCTATAAGTTTTCACATTTTCCTTCTAACTCATTGTTTCCTCCAGTTTGTTCACTTTTTCCCTGCATCTTCCTTCAATGTTCTTCAATCTGCTCCAGTATTTTCACACATATTCCCTAATCATGTTCTACAGTTTTCCCATTTATTCCAACAGTTTTTTCCAAGTTTTTTCTAATGTTATTGGTGAAGTCAACCTTTTCCCATAGTTATCCCATTGAAATCCCATCATTTGTCCCATATACCCTCTGGTAAACAAACATAGATATGAAAAAATCACTATTTTCATAGGTAAATCAAATATCAATGGACCATTTTTTCTATAGATATGTTAGTTTACCAGAGGGTAAAAGATAATTCCCATGGTTTTCCCGTTTTTCCCATTTTTCTTCATAACCCCTTTGTTTTTCCCAGGTTTTCCCATGGTTTTCCCAGCGAACCTCAGCCTTTTCCCGGCCCCAAAGCCAGATCCGTCAGCTGCTGCTGCGGCCAAGCCTGGCGCGCAGCGTGGCGCGGCGGGGACAGCGCTTTGCGAGAACGGCACTGAGCCATGAGGAGCGGCGGCAAGTTCTTTTCCATGGGATTTACAGGGATACCATCTGGTAAACCATAGGAAAACCATAGGAAAATGGTGGTTTAATGGGATTTAATGGGATTTACAGGGATTACCATCTGGTTATGTCAAAATAGCTATTGAAAATGGCAATTTATAGTGAGTTTTCCCATTAATAGCATGGTGATTTTCCATAGTTATGTTAGTTTACCAGAGGGTACCATCTGGTAAACTAACATAACTATGGAAAATAATATATTCAATGGGATTTACTGGGAATTTGAGAGGGTTTTAATGGGATTTAATCGGATTTTCCATGGGGTTCAATATGTTTTACTGGGATTTTCATGGGATATCCCATAGTAGGAGTAAACATCATGGAAAAATGATGTTTTTTTGATTTAATGGTGATTTTATGGCTCGAAATGCTAGTTATAACTGGTTATAAACGGTTATAAATGGTAATTTCTATGTGGTTAAGGGCCATAACTGTAGTAAGAGTAGTAAAAAACATGAACAAAAGGACAAAATGGTGATTTCATGGGATTTCATGGTGATTTCGTGGGAAATTAAGTGGATTTTAAGGGAAATTCATGGGATTTACTAGGAATTTCATAGGATTCCAGTTGGGTTCAATGGGATTTAAGTGGGATTGAATTGTTTCTTAATGATAAACTGATGATAAGCTTGATGATAAACCAGTGGTTTTACTAGGATTTTGTGAGAGTTTCCTTGGGATTTCAATGGATTTCGTATAATTATTGTAGTGGGAACTTCATGGATTCTATGAAGTGTTACTGGGAACTGGAAGATTCATGGGAATTTTGTGTCAGATTGAAGGGGTTTGAATGGGAAATTCAGTGGATTTAATGGGATATCCCATAGCAAAAGTAGTAAACAGAGTACAGTAATTCTAATGGCGTTTGAATGGGAAATTACTGTCTTGAAAACCGCGCCACTTTTCCAAATGCCTGCGGTATACAGGTGCACTTCTGTGATTTGTGCGTGTCATCCATCGCACCTGACAGACTCCCCCAATCGTGATTTGCACGATTTTCAGGAGATTTAATTTGGCACCCAGCCAAAAATTTGAATTTCATGACCAAAAAATTTTGGAACCTAAATTGGTAGGCTCAAGGCATTCTGTCCTTGGGAGATGATCGCCACGTCTTGTACATTGATGCCATTTTGGCAGGCGACCATCCCTTGCCTCTATTTTGATGTTGAAAAAGATTCCATGGATTGTGCAAAGTCGCTTTAGATTCTGCACCAACCCTAAGTGCCTCGCTCACTTCGCCAGCACGCTGCATCAACGCATGCTCGATGCCACCATCAGCCGCAGAGATCTGCGCCACAGCAGCCAAGGCCTGCTCAAGGCCAGGGACATCAGCAAAACGATCAGCGCCGCCCGAAGAAGAGGCCTGCACAGGGCCAGCAGCCGCAGCAGCAAGAGGATCCGCGCCGCTCAAAGAAGAGGCCTGCACAGGGCCAAGTCCAGCGCTAGAATATCCGCCAGCAGCCGCATTTCTAGATCTCAGGGCCTGCTCAAGGCCAGAACTGCTCGAAGATGCACCAGAGGCCTGCACAGGGCCAGCACGCTCAGCAGTTATTGAACTTGTCGAACTTGTGGCCTGCACAGGGCCAAACACACGCAAGGACATAGCGATGGGGGCCTGCACAGGGCCAACACTTGAAGATCCAGCTGAAAGGGCCTGCACAGGGCCAATGTTCAAAGATCCAGCTGAAAGGGCCTGCACAGGGCCAACGCTACTCGAAGATCCAGCTGAAGGGGCCTGCACAGGGCCAGAACTGCTTGAAGTGCTCGCTCGCCACCTCAACCCAGATCTTCTTTCATCATCATTTTCATCATCCTTTTTGGTAGCGGAGCATGTTGATGAAGCTTGCATCTCACCAGACGGCGTTGACGGCGCAGACGACCACACTTGCAATCGGCGCATGCAGCATTGACCAGCTTGAACGGCTAGCTTGCCAGCGTAGATTGCCCCCAGGATCATCAAAACCACCGCAGCAATCCAAAGTGGATCCGCTTCATCTTGTTCTCCCTTGATTTCCAAAGCTTCAGCTTCGGACAAAAGAGCCTGCCCCACCAAAAAACTCATTGCAGAAGCTGCGCCAGCATGAACACGTTCTCTGTTGCCATGACTTCGCACTTGAGCAGCACGTACTTCAGGGTCTTCAGGCCTCAAAAACGGCGCATTCATGCCCAGGTTTTCCACAAAACGCTGAAAGGCAGCTCCAAAAAGAGGCTTTGTAAAACCATCAGCAACTAAGTCAAGGCCACGCACATGGATCAGCTTCCATTGGCCTCCAGCTGCATCAGTTTCATCCAGGGCTTGTTTCAAAAGACTTGCTCTGATGCGCAAGTGTCTTGTACGCCATGAAGAAGACGTAGTTCCATTGGCCAGTCCAATCGCGGCAATGTTGTCACCATAGATGACTTTCATCACAGCTGTAACACCTGTGAGCTCCATCACTAAAGCTTCAGCTGCTTTGCCAGCGATCAGGCCTTCACAGTAGCTAACCAACTCAGCTTCAGCCGTGCTGTGGGTGACAAAAGGTTGTTGGCTTGTTTGCCAACAGATCGGCTGACCACCCAGGCAAACAACTATTCCTTGGACGCTTCTATGGCCAGAACCTGCTGAATAGGCTATGTCGCAGAAGATCTCCAAAAGGAGGTCACTTCTTTTCACCTTCAGCTGGCCATGGGCGCCCCAGTCATCAGGAACATGCGTTGTGTATCTCAAACCAACGCCAGGGTTTCCCTTAACGTATTTCATCAACGTTGTGCCGATCTGAATGGCTTTGACAGGAGCCTTTGTCATAAGCCTGCTCATTGTTGCAACTCCATGAGCAAGGTCAGGTCGTGTTCGGGAACTCAACCACAGCAAAGAACCAGCCATAGCTTGAGCTGTCCTGACATCATTTGGGTCAGGGCTTTCTTCAACTTCTTGATCCTCAGCAACTTTGTAGTGAGGATATTCAACTCCTTCATCAACATTCCAACGTTGCAACATCTCCTGCTCATACATGTGCTGGTTGACATGAAAACCATCGCCTTTGGCATCTTCAGAAATCTCAAAACCGCAGTACTTGAGAGGCTTGTCAACACCAGCCCACTCCACAGAAGACGTTGTCCAAACTCCAGAAAGAGCTTGTAGAGCGCCATGAATTGCGAACTCTTCACCAGTGACCAAGATGTCGTCCACATACACCGACATGAGGCTATTCCAGTGGATGAAGCCAGATTCATCCAGTTCTTCCAAGCGCCAAACATTTTCATCTTTTGTTTTCTCAAAACTTCCAGTCAGCGGCCCGTTTTGACCTTGCCTTGTCCACTTCAGTGTTGGCAAAACTGCATCCCGGTGAAGACACCAGTCCCTTGGTGAAGCCTGGAGTCCGTACATTGCAAGCATGATGAGCCAAACTTCATCAGGTCCAGCTAGGCCCAACATTTTGTACACATGCGGCGCTTCCATAGCTATGAGTCTGGAGTCTCTTCTCGGCGCATTGAGGAACGCCGTTCGTATGTCTGTTGAAGCAACTTTCCACTTGTACTGAGCACTGATCCTTAGCATTGTTCGGATATGTGTTGCATCAGCACCTCCAGCATACGTGTTGTCATCATTTGGTGTCTGGTAGTTTCCACACACCACTGCTCTTGAACGGTATGCTCCTGATCCAGCTTTTCTAGTGTGAACCATTTTTGCTGGAAGGATCTCCAAAGTTTTGTTCTGCACTTCAGCCATTTTTTGGAGTTCCGTTCTTGTCATTGGTTTGACAGCCTTTTTGTTGACGACAAGCTGCTCGTACTCTGCCTTGATGGATTCAGTCCAATCGGCAAGGTTTTCACGAACCTCTTTGTTGCTGACCGTTTTGGTGACCAAAAACTCATGGGTCAACTGTTGTTGTTCTTCAGCTTGATCTTCATCCGCAAGTAGTTGAATTTGTTCTTCAACTTCAACCTTTCTAACCAGAGCTTTGTTGAGCTCAGGGAGACACCACATTTGTTCAGGGAAGGTGCCATCAATCTTGCAGATCTCCTCGGCGATATAGTCCGAGACATTGTCGTGGATGGTTTGGAGGGCTTGTATCTTTGACATTCTAACCAGAACATTTCTTGATACATTTGAGGCCGCAGAGCTTGAGCCACCGTCTCTGCTGTTAGGCGCCTCCCCCAAATCCTCCTCCACATCACTTTCCTCCTCCTTTTGATCATGAACTTCATCAGTTTCTGTTTGCCCCCCATCACCATCCTTTTCATCATCATGCCCTGGTCGCGGAGCATCATGAACCTCTTGTTGTTCTCGAGGTGGATGTTGTTGTGCTGGAGAAAGCGTTGTTTCCAAAGTCCATGAACCTTCAGAGGCAACTTCATTGTCAGGCGGCAGCGCAAACTCAAACGCACTGCCAAACTTTGCAAGGATGCGCTTCTCCCCCTCAATGTGCAACATTGACATAGTGGCAATTGCTGGAGGCGGAGCTGTCTTTGATCTCAATCTTCGTGCTGGCACCCCACCACGGAAAAGAGGTTGAGCTTGGCCACCATCACGTTCAGGGAGATATGGCAAAACTTCTCCCCCGGGACCAGCATCGACAGCTGCATTCATGCCATCATCCGCAGGAATCACCACATCATCTGTGTAGAAGCACCTTTCCGTTGCAATTGCTTTGACATAGTATGTTGTAGTGGTTATAGAAGATCCTTCAGCGGGGCCCCACACCACAACTTCTTCTCGGCAATCACGCCATTGAGCGTAGCGATCTTGCCAGCTTTTCTTGAGGGCATAGGCTTTGGAGCCAAACCTCAAAAGTTTTCCAACTGGCCAGCCTGCTTGGTTGAGTTGATTGCGGAGACGTCTTTCTCCAACATGTCGCACCGCAAGAGGCCATCTGTCCAAAGGGCATGCTCCAGCAGAGATCAAAGTGCGGACACCTTTTTTGATCATCCCAACTTCGTTTTCAGCTCTGCCATTTGTTTTGAAAGCACTGCCAGGTGTCATAGTTTGAACTATTCCACGGTCAAGACACCATTGATGGACAGGTTTTGCCAAAAATTCACGTGCACGGTCACTATGCATTCGGTACACAGGGCAACCCAAAGAGCGCAAACGAGCATAGATCTTGGCGATCGCCGGCAGCACGTTGTGCACATTTCGATCTGCAATGGGCTCTGCAAAAGTGAGGTTGCGCACAGTGACATCCTTGGACTCACTGATGAGACGCATCCAAGTGTCGTGCATTCCATAGGCTGACTTCACCTCTTCATCTTCCACAATGTCAGGAACCGATTCTTCTTGGAGAGGATCAGGTTCATCTTGTGCAACACCTGCAGGAAGACCTTGTTCATGTTGAGCTTCATGGCCCGCTTGTTGTTGATCTCGTTCAACATGTTGTTGAGGTGGTTGACCATCTCCAGGTTGTTGTTCTTGAGGATCACCAGAGAGCTCAGGATCATCAAGGCCAGGCAAAGGGTGATCTTCCTCTTCATCTTGGTCAGGGCGCAACAAGAGTGGTTTCCCCTTTTTGTTGACGGGGTATGTGTAGACTCCAACCAAGAAGTATTTGTTGGTACCAGGAGTTTGGTCCTTGCCACCAGTCATCCGACCGGACATGTCCAAGCTCAAAGTGAAGCTTTCAGGATGACAAACTCGGCGATGTGCTCGACTGCGACCTTGAGAACGTACACAGTGGCTGCAATCCCGACGGGCCGGCATGTGGTCCTGCATGTAGTGTTGCTTCCATTGTTGAAGGGCAACATTTCCAATTGCAGCGACACCAACAGGTCGGACATCGTCTTCGGCGTAAACAACGCCAACAGGATCTTCAGGTCCTTCACGTGGAGGCGCTTCACGGCGAATCCATCTGCTGATTGCTTCAGCAACTGCAGCCTTCAAACCAGGTGCCCAAGCCGCCCAAGTTTTTGACATAGCACATCTTTCTTTCACACTGAGTTCTGGTAGCGGAGCAACTTCAGGTTCAGCTCCACGACCTCTCACATCTTGTAGCTGCATCATCTCATTCATGTTGATCAAGGCCAAAGTGGTTGGCTTTCGTTTTGGGTGTCCAAAAGGCCCTTGATCAAAGGAGATCAGCTTGGCGTTGTAGGCTTCTTGGAAGCTTTTCCATTCCTGAGTTCTCCACATTGAAAAGTACTGGTGCTCATCCACATCCTCCTTCTTGCGGTATTCCGCTGGGTCTTGAGGTTGTTCACAAAGAAATGCAGTTTGAGCTTGTTCTTTTGGACGCACTTCTTCGCAGAGGATGTACATCAGCATCAACCGGAGCCACAGAATTGAGTCATTGGTGACCAATTCAGCTTGTTGTGGAGTCAATGATGGCAAACCGTATGGGTGATCTTCTGTTCGAAGAATTGGTGGACCATCATCTTTTTGAAACCTGAGAGCACTTGTTGTTCTGCATGGAGGACCACCAAGTAGAGCTTTGACACGTTTGCTGGCGCACAAGGAAAGCAAAAACGCAAAGGTTGTTTCATCCAAAGCATTTGAAGGTGTTGAAGCTTCCAAGTCCACGCACAGCACCTCAGTGTGCTCATTTGACAAACGCCGCTCCCAGTAAGAAGCATCAGGTCCACTGTACATGTGGATGATCACATTCTTTGCCATCATGAGTCTTTTTCGCTTTCTGCGATTCCATGGAAGGTTCAAGCCGATGTTGGGGTCCGTGAGCACTGAGAGATCTGGGACCAGTTTCAACGCCAAATCTTCAGGCAAAGTCGGCATGACCTCCTTGAGCTTGACAAGCATCGCCATTTCAATGCTCATGTTGTTGCCAAGACCGGCAGCCCCTCTCGTCAAGATAGACTTCAAGGTCATCTTTTTCAGCTCTTGTTGAATTTGATGCTGTTCCAACACCGTCAGCAGCTTTGCTCCAAATTCATGAGCAACGTAGGGACATCCATTGTGAAGTTCCACATCGACCTTGTCTCCAGCTTTTGTGTAGAGATGGCACATGTGGTCTTTCCACACCAACTTGTAGTTGAGCTCGTTCAAGCATCCCATTGGAACGATCCAAGAGGTATTTTCAGGCCGAAGGAGAGGATCGGAAAGCAAAACTTTGGTGCCAGGCTTCAAACGGAGACTTTCAGTGACACCATCAGCCAACATCACCTGAGTTCTTGTGCCAGACTGCCATTCTTCTTCTGAAGCTGCAGGACGTAGGCCATGTGTTGCACCAGAGTCCAGCAACACCATTTGAGCATGAGACTCCAACTTTGACAGTCGCATCACCTTCAGGTTGGGCATACGCAAAGACTTCAGCAACTGAGTGGCTTCTGCCAACAGTTCAGTGGTCGCAGGAGTGGCAGCTGGAGCTCCCCCCTTATCCACCTCCGAGGTTGCACTAGATGAAGTCCCAAGGGAGTTACTCTCAGCACCCAGTCCTGGACCATCAGCGCTTGTACTGGAGGAAGTTTGATCAGTTGTTGAGCTTGCAACTCCACCATCATGACCCTTTCCAACTGAAGCTTGCTTGACAGCCGCTTTGTTGTTTGCTGCAGCTGCATTGTGATTTCCACGTCCTCCCCCCAAACCAGAGTCATTGGACGAAGGTTTGTTTCCAGAGCCCTTGACGCGGCATTCTGACCTTCTGTGCTCCTTGGAGCCACATATCCAGCATCTACTGCCTTTGTCCTCTATGTTGTCCCAACTATGAGACCACTTGCAGCTTTTGCCAGCCTTGCATCCACCATCACTCTTGAAAAACTTGCATGGTTGCTCCGCCATAGGGGTTGACACTCCTTTGCCAGACTTGCCATAGTTGCCAGGAGTGCCTGGCTTTTGAGGTGAGTTGGATGCTTCGGCATCCATTTGCTTGAGTCTCACCGGTGTGCTCGCACTTGTAGACGTTGTAGAAGAGGACTTCAGCAAGCTCAAAGTTTCTGCCTCAGCCAACAAACACTGACTGAAGCTCCAAATTGACTGCTCCGTAGGACGTTGATCCAGTGCAAGTTGTTGTCGGCTAGTGGAAAGCCTGAACGCTGCTTGGGCATCTTCCTTGGCGATCTGGACAACCGCAGCTTCAAGTGCTTTTATCAACAGCACTCCATCAGGCAAGTTTGCATCCACCTCCCTAGCCCTTGCAAAGTATCGCCGCCATGTTCTCAGAGACGAAGCCAAGTCCTGCATCGTAGATGCCTTTTGCAGTGAGGTCAATTGCCCCAAGAGGATTGCCTTTTCACCTGGTCCTCCTGGTTGATGCCGCACATAGAGGCGGAACAAAATTGCCATACTGGTCAAATCTCGATCCACCACCAACTCCTTCTGCTGCTCTTCGCTCACCGCCTTGAGCAACAAAGTGACGCCCCTCTGCTCCGTTCTGATGAAGCCGCTTGCCATCAGTTCATCAGGAAGACGAGGACAAAGTTGAACTCGCTGAAGAGGAGATAGTCCCTTCCATTCCATGTAGAAGGCGTACGCTTGGCGCACCGTAGCATCCCACCATCTTCCAGCGACATGTGACAGGTCTTTCATGATTGGCCCACAAAGACAAAGCCAATCTCCAAACTCCAGAGGCGATGCACCATTCGGCAACACAGGTAGTTCGGCTTTTCCACCGCCACCTCCTCCAGAAGCTTCCCAAGATGCCGGCATTGGTGCGACACCCATAGTTCCATGCCCTTGTGCTCCTTGAAGAGGATGCCCTTGTTGAAGAGGATCTTGAAGCCCAGGGATCGCCGTAGAACCACCATGCAAAGCCCGATCAGGAAGTGCTCCATCACCAAAAACCGTGCCATGCAAAGCCCGACCTTGAAGAGCTCCATCACCAAGAACAGCGCCATGCAACGCCCGATCATGAAGCGCTCCTTCACCAAGAACCGTGCCGTGCAAAGCCCGAGCTTGAAGTGCTCCATCACCAAGCACAGTGCCATGCAGTGTTGAAGCACCCTGCAAAGAAGCCCGATCTCCATGAACAAGTTCACCATGCAACAAACGCCGCTGTTCCAGTGACGATGCTTCGACAGGCATCGGTGGCATCCCAGACGACCAAAACTGTTGACCCTCTTTCAATGGCCATGCTTTGGAAATTTCAAAACTGTTTCCATCAGTTGCTACTTTTTCCAAAACCTTTTTCAAAGAATTCACCTCTCTCTCCAACCATGCACTTTTCGCTTCTTGGGGTGTGAGAGACCTTTCATTTGTGGGCTTCCAACCCGGATCACCCATTCTTCCACGCAGTGGCCCGTCCTGGCAGACTTCATAGGCCTTGAGGTCCATCTTTTCCGTCATATCAGACGCAGCATCCGCAGTGTGCGGAATTGGAAATGGAGGCACAGGTGGTGGTGGACATGAAGGCATGCGACTAACATCATCCATTGGTGGAGGCCCATCAGGAATTCGTGTTCCATTGGGGGTACACTGCAACTTGTCATCTTTTTTCACACGCCCATCCCCAGCTAGCTTGACAGGACTTCCATGACCCTGCTTTCTAGTTGGTCTTGGGGATCTACTTGACCACCTTTTTGCACCCATCGCCGACCGCTTTCCAAACGATTCACCTTCCACCACAGTTGACCATGGTGACGAACCTGCAGAAGCTTGATCACCTCGAGCTTCCAAGGCCGTTTTCAAATCAGACACCTGCGTCATCAGCTGCGCGTTCTGTTGACGCAAAAAGTCTACCAGCTCAACTTCAAGGTCTCGCTGAAGTTCATCCATTGCCGGGCGAACACTGCCCACATTTTTCACATGCATACCAACTTCCTCATGTCTCTCAGAACCATGCATAGCTCCCATAGTTTGTTGAACCGTTGGTGGAGTTTCCATTGGCATAGCCCCTTGAGATTGCATCCCAGTTGGTTGCTGGCCAAACACTGTAGGTCTTTCCAGGCTTGGGGGTGTTGCAAACAAACCAGTTCCATCCCCGCCACGACCCTTCCCAGTTGGTGGCCTTCCATCTTGCACTGGCGGAACTCGCCCTTCATCATCTGCAGGAAGATGCTTTGGCCTTCTTTCATGAAGCGCTATCTCCTGCTGCAGCCGCTCACTGTAGAACGGGTTCGTGCCAGTTCCATCAGCTGCTGCATGATCCCTGCTGCTGCTAGGCACCGAAAGGGATCTCGACATCATAGCGCCTTAGGGTTCGTTGGGCTCATAACCCTTGAAAACCGCGCCACTTTTCCAAACCAAAATGCCTGCGGTATACAGGTGCACTTCTGTGATTTGTGCGTGTCATCCATGGCACCTGACAGAACTGTAAGTGGTTTTTAAGGAATGTTAAGGGATTTTCCATAGGATTTCATGAGATTTAAGTGGCATTGAAACGGGAGATCATTGGGATGAATGACCAACCAAGGGTTGGTGTTTGTTTACTGGGATTTAAGAGGACTCAATGGGATTTACCATAGGATTTTTTCATGGGATTTACTTGGCAGATTTGACACCATTGGATTTTCAAACCAAATGGGATATCCGATTATAAAAGTAGTTTCAACAAAGCAATAGTTGTAGTAATGGTAATAGCACTAGTTACACTAGCTTAGCCGTTTAGTAATGATAATGGTATAGTATAGTCTATCCCACTATACAACCGCTAAACAGTGTTTCAAACGTTAGAATTTGAACAAACACAGAATAACCCTTCGATGTTGGTGACATAATCGGTATAACCAACAAAGACTAACCAACCTATATAACTGGCCGACTAATGTTGAGTATATTTCGATTTCCCAAAATGGGTGCCCTAGACTGATTGGTTTCAATCTGCCTAAATTTGTATGATATTGGTTTATAAGTGGCTGAATTTTATGGTTTATGGTAGATATAACTATAGTTAATGGAGATTATTTCATGGTTTATGACTTGAAAGTTTCAGGGTGCCCCCCTGGGAATATCATGAGAAGAAAACTACTGAATTGCCTCCCCCACACCACCGATGTTGAGGATGACGGCCGTGTTTTTTTTTAACCTTAGGATTGCCAACAGCCAGGGTATAATGGGGAAACAAGAAACGATGATAGTTGGAATACTTGGATATGTTGGGAGATAACGTATAATAAAGAAAATCAATAAAATGATTGATGCACAGTTGAAACCTTTTTTGGGACATTCATGGGATACTTATCAACTAAATGGAGTTATTATCAAATGGATTGTGGATAGGACATAGTTGTTTAATGGATTTTGATGGTGATAAATGGGGATCCTTTGTGGGATTTGATGCTAATTGAGTGTGAGAAAGCCAATAACCTACGATTTAGGGATGAGAGCTACCACCCATGTATCATGATTTTGGAGATGATTTAGTGGTTGGTGCTTTGGAACATGAATTTCATGACTTTCCATATATTGGGAATGTCATCATCCCAACTGACGAACTCATATTTTTCAGAGGGGTAGGTATACCACCAATCAGTTTATTATTGGGTCTACCACATCAATTCAATGGTAATTTCAGGATCCTAAAATAGAGGTACTGTACCAAATAAGGCCATATTTTGTGGGGATATTCCCTTACATAGGCCTTAATTTAGGCCTTATATATGGTAGGTACCTCCAATTTAGGTTCCTGAAATGACCATTGATCAATGCCACCCGATTCGCCCATTGGTTCAGCCCCATAGCCATCGCGTCTCGAGGATGCCATGCATTACCTGGCGCGCGTGCTCCACGCTGTGGCAGATGCGCAGCATGGAAAATGGGGACCTCGTGAACTTGATACCTTGACCCTCCAAGGATCAAAAAATGCTACCCGGCCTGGTAAACATACAAAAAACTATAGAAAATCACAATTTTTTTATGGGAAAATCCACTATTTCTATGGCCATTTTCAATAGCAAACTGTTAGTTTACCAGAGGGTAAACGCAATCCCTTCCCCCTATTAAACACCCGCCAAAGAAACCATGGTTTTCGTAACGTAAGGGATTTATAGTGACTTATATTTAGGACGGGAGTACTAAAATTATGGCAGCATGAAACACCATTTTTTTGGAGCACCTAGACGGAGGGTCTAGGTCGAAAGAAATGGCCAAATGGTTGAACCTTTGGAAAACAATGGTTTCTTGGGCCAGATGAAATTTGTCATTGGGCCAAATAATATCTAGCAATAAAAAAAATTGGAAAGGAAGGGGATATAGAAACCAGCAAAACAATTAAAAGATAAGATGTATACCCTTGACATCCTTTGACCAGATGCAAGTGCAGCAAAAGCCAACAATAAAATTTGCCATATGGTCTGAGGGATCATGAGTAGTGTCGCTCGTAAGTCAGATTCACAGAGGTTCGTCAGTCGGTTTGACATTTTCAGGTAGGTGGTTTGGAAACCAACAGAGAAAACAGTGGAAGAGATCCAATACTAAACACGGGTTTCACTCGGCCTGTGTAATATCAGTGGGATTTCATGCTTGGCACATTCTCATTTTAGGGGATTCACTTCCCATTCTAGTTGGTTAGAGAATATACTTTAGAATCCCTTAGCCGTTATTCCATCCTTAGTTTCCTTATGACTGGCTTGCCACATGGGCAATCGAACTCGCAATCTGGGAATGCAACCATCAAAAATTGCAATTTTACCGAGCAAAAATGAGCAACGATGGAGATTTCACCAACGAAAATGGAGATTGATATTGGATATTGTGGCAAGCATGATTGGTTTTTGTTGGTTTATTGTTTATAGATGTTTATAGTTACAACAACTGTTGGACTTCCGGTGAAAAGTAATCTACAGTTGAGTGGATGAACATAAGTCAACAATATTCAAGAAGCATGACTCGGCGGCCCACATAAATCATGGTAAATCGCCGCGTAGCACGTGATGGCAACTGGTTGGTGGTTTGGAAAATGAATTTTATGACTTTCCATATATTGGGAATGGAAAATCATCCCAACTGACTTTCACTCCATCATTTTTCAGAGGGGTAGGTATATGTACCACCAACCAGGTAACATTTACATAACCCCCTAGGTACTGGTAACGCATCTACGGTGGGAAGTACGTGGAATCTATTGGATCCAGAGGCCTTCTGAGGCAGCAGCCGTTTGAGGCTTCGCAGTGCAAACTTTCAGATCTGAGGCACACTCCCTGCGCAACCCATTCCAGGATTCCATTGATGGGAATTTTCGTGTCCATGTTGGTTTACAATGTTTGCAGTGAATTTTTAGGGCCGCAAAGGAAAAGAGAGGGAAACGGAAGTGAACCATGTTGATGTGGTTTGGTTTTTCTTGGTGATAGACATACTTACAGCCTTTGTTTTTATCTTTTCTTGTAGATGCATATCCATTCTTCTGGTCCACATATTTGTTGGCTACATTCCCCTGACTTGTCTGGCAACTATATATCATCAACTCTGCAGGATGGGCCCCACCAGTCATAAGTTGGTTTATAAACCATGAAATAATCCCCATTAACTCTACTGTAGTTCGTTATATCTACCATAAACCATAGTTTTTGCAGCCACTTATAAACTAACTGAACGCTATCTTGGGGGCCCCATCAACTCTGGTTTAACCATGTTTTTTTCGCCCTCAAGCCTGGCGATGTCGCCATTTCTGTGAACATCATCGGAGCGTTGCGCGCCGGAGCTCGGTCGCATGGCATCGCCATGCGCTCGTTGCAGCGATGCTTTTCAAATCGCAGGGTGTCCAAGCGGAGGATCAGCCACTCTGGAGTTGATGGTTAAGCTTAATGTCAACCCAAATAAACCATGGTTTATGAAATAGGGGGTGTACTCCGATAGTCATTTCATCTGATACTTTTTTTTTTAAATGGTAGCTTCCTAATTCAACGGGGGTTTATTCCAGGGTTGGCATTACATACCTTTTCTTGCTGGAACATGCTACTGCTGTGAAATCTATGGTTTTTTGTTTACCTCTTCCATGTGATGATCCATTCCCTTGACTCAGATTCTTTTTCAATGGACGGTTGAAGCATTCCCTTGCCACATTCCCATGTTTACCATTTTTTATTGATTGAATATGATTGAATGTTGTGTCTTTATATATACGTATATATATATATATATACGTATATATATATACGTATATATATATAATAATATATAGTAATAATATATATAATAATATACGTATATATAATAATATACATATATATAATAATATACATATATATATATATATAATAATATACATATATATATATATAATAATATACATATATATAATAATATGCATATATAATAATAATATACATATATATATAATATAATAATATATATATATATAATAATATATATATATATATAATAATATATATTTATATATAATAATGTATATATATTATAAGATATATATTATATAATGTAATGCATACAATATAATATATAATATAATAATATAATATCTAATATATAATATATAATACATATATAATATATCATATAAATACTAGTATATATATGTGATAATTTTTGGGACTGAGCGACATTTGACACAAACAAGTTGTGATGTAGTTCCAGCTCCAGTTGCTTAGACCCTCATTTCTGTTGCGTAGACCGTCATTTCTGGCCATCGAATTCCAATAATTGGTGCTATGGAAAATCGTCATTTATAATAGGTAACTCCACTATAGATAGGCCATTTTCAATAGCTATGTTAAATTACCAGAGGATATTAGTTATAACTGGTTATTTCAATTGGATTACACATTCTACAAATGGGGTTTTGTTAGTACTTACCCTCTGGTTATTTAACATAGCCATGGAAAATTGCCCATTTATGATTATTTTCCTACCTAGAAACCTCCATTTATAAGGGATTTTCCAGGCTATGTTAAATAACCAGATGGTATAAGTGGTATAACTCGGGCCATAATGGGTGGCGAATGAAATTCCCATTGGCTTCTTGGCATCATGGGAGGTTCTCAGGGTTTGTGAGCTGCTCACCCTGACTCTGGAAACGGGACCCGTTTCCCAAGTTTTTCAAGACCTATCCTGTATGTTCACATGCTAAAACCGCATTTACCCTCTGGTAAACTAACATAACTATAGAAAATCTCCATTTTCAATGGGAAAATCCACTATAAATGGTCATTTTCAATAGCTATGTTAAATTACCAGAGGGTAACATTCTTCTTGAACGTGAAAACCCGCATTTCTTGAAGCCATAAAGGTATGTACCAGTACGTACCCAACGGATCTTAGTGTATCTCTGTATATAATATATCATAATATTGTGTCACTAAACCCGCCCAATTGGCTAAATCGGTTCACCATGTGGCTTTGTCTGAAAATGGGATACCTCTAGATCCATTGCTTAATCATTACTTTCTCATATTTTACTTTTAAAAGTGCCAGAACTGTGGGACTGTGGTGTAATCAACCATCCCCCAAATCACCATAAATAGACAAATAGTAGGTATAAACCATTCCTAAGTGGGTGGTTTATGGCATTGTTTTACCCACTTTACAACAGAACTTCAGAGCCATGGCGCAGCGAGTGACAGCCACGGCATGCCCCAGGTCTTACGGCGCTCTTCCCACGAATTGAGGCGTGATGTTCAACGGAAGGATTGGGAGAAAAAGGCCCCCACAAATGTGCGCAAAACCGCAAAACTGGTTTAAGCGTGTTTATCCTCCAAGAATCTCACTTTTGCATGGTTTTTCTTGGTTAAATTCCATGTAAACAATTGGCCCGGAAAATCATCAAAAGTTGAAAATCCAGCTAAGCCAGGTTTGATTACCGGAGGCTACGGTAACACCAATTAAGCGATCGACAAGTCATTTATCATTTTGGAAGTGGGACTTTACTTTTCTTTGTGGGTTGCAGTAGTATTAATGTTGCCAGCCATAAAAGATGGATTTAACATGATTCAGCAACAAACTAACAAATGGTGATTTAATCAACATCATAGATAATTGGGGAAATGTGGTGCAATGTGGGCACCCGCAAACGAGAGGGAATTTAATTTAACCAACAATTTTGGCAGTTTGCCCCGCCAAAATCACTAGAGATGGCGATTGATATCGGATTGTAAGATAATGAGATTGATGGAGGATATTTATATATGTATATATTTTTTATGCATATATATATGTATATATATGTATCTACAGTTGAATGAGATTGTAAATGTAGCTACACCTTGGTGGGGGGGTGCCCAGATCGTGAGATTTTTCCCATGCTTTTGCTTGGTGCGTCCTTGGAAGAGACCTCCAACCGGAAGAGTTTTATCATGTTTTACCCCAATTTTTGGACCCATATGGCCGGCAAAAGGTCGTAACTTATCCAAGAATCATGTAGCAGATGTGAACACTTACTCAAATAACATATATGTTGGAAGTCAACAGGCTTATTTTATGTACATCAGTTTCAATATATTTCGCAACAGAATCCCAATCTTTAAGCATGATTTGTGTCTACCCATCTTTTGAGGTTTATTTTTTCAGTGCCACGTCACGGATTTTTGATATTGGTGTCAGTTTGGTAGAGCTACTGCTGCTCTTTAAACATGAGCCAATGAGAACCTACCATTCATCAGGTTTGATGGACTTGGCTTGCTCCGATCTGATCACTTCCATTGCCCAAATCGCAAACATGTTTGATGAATGCAGCTATGAACATTTTGAGGTACCTTATTGTGGGCACCTACCCTCTGGTAATTTAACGGCCAAACACCTCGTCTTGCCCGCGCCTGTTGGCCTGCCTTCTTCGTATGACCTCAAAACGTGGTAAAAATGGGATATTTTAGCATTATGGTTAACTTGATGTTCTAGATCAGAACGCATCGGTATGATGCTTTGTCAGGGCCTTCGTTATTTGGCCTTTCCGCCTACAGCTTTGTCATCTGGGCCTTGGAATCATGGCGCGACCCGAGATCTGCGTTGCAGCCTTTCATTCGCACTCGGGATGGAGATCCCCAGTACGAGGTGAGCCTTCAGACTCAGAATTCCACAGTTGCGCGCCCTGGATTGCGTCAGCTTGAGTTTGGGATGACCCGTCTTGATTTTGTGGATCGATTGGGCATATTGGCTCTGTCACCTTCTAGCTGGTGTGCCCGACACACATGAGGTGTGCAAAGTAGAGCCACGCAATTCCCTTGGTTCGTGCCATGGACCACATCATCATCATCATCATCATCGTCATCGTCATCGTCATCATCATCATCATCATCATCATCGTCATCGTCATCGTTATCATCATCAATGAAGATCCTCAACGAATATAGAAGTGTAACCCCGGTGGGAGAATTAAGCCCTTATTGAAGATCTTCAATGAATGTAGAAGTTTAACAGGGGTGGAAGAATTAAACCCCCCTTATTGAAGATCTTCAATGAATGTAGAAGTTGAACGGGGGTGGGAGAATTAAACCCTTATTGAAGGCCTTCAATGAATGTAGAAGTTTAACGGGGGTGGGAGAATTAAACCCTTATTGAAGATCTTCAATGAATGTTGAGGTTTAACGCGGGTGGGAGAATTGAACCCTTATTGAAGATCTTCAATGAATGTAGAAGTTTAACGGGGTGGAAGAATTAAACTCTTATTGAAGATCTTCAATGAATGTAAAATGAATGTAAAGTTTAACGGGGGTGGGACTTTTATATTCCCTAATACCTTTGTTGATCTTCCCAAGACAAGAAGGGTGTGGGGGAAAAGGGGTGTTTGCGGGTAATTTAACAGTTCGCTATTGAACATGGCCCATCTATAGTGGATTTACCTATGAAATAAACGATGATTTTTTCCATAGCAAACTGTTAGTTTACCAGAGGGTATGTTGAGGGGATGAGATTTCCAGGGTTACCACTTTCCGTTGCCATGGCAACGGCCACCCACTTTCCCAGGTGATGACCGCGTCGCCATGGCGAAACACCGCCGGGAGTGCCTTGAAGGCGCCTCAGCAGGGCTTAACAAAAAACTGAGTGTAGGATTGATTTCTTACAGTTATGGCTTGAAAGTAGCGAGGTACTATAAAGATAGATAATTACTTCTTGGGCCAAATTGACCTAAAACTGCGGCAAAAGGGATGGCAAAACCACTGGCAGAGGGGCCGCCGCAACTCAAAAACACGAGTTCTTGGGTTTTGTGGCCGGCAAACTTAGCGGCAGAACCTGTGGTTAATTCTGTGGGAACGAAAAACCATGGCATTTGTGCCGGCAAGTGGTATGGCAGAGCATCCGAAGAAGTGATGGACATGCAAAATTAGGGGCAAATGTGCCGGCAAGTGGCACGGCAAAGTGTGTAAACTAGTTGCGGTCAAGCGGGCATTTTCAACGGCAAATGCGTTCAATGCAAGAGTCAATGAAAGCTGGCACGTTTCAAAGTAGAAAAGGGAAACCCTGGCCTGGGATGTCCATTTTTGGTCAACAGCCTGATGCCAGACACTGTTGTCCAGCTTGTGGACAGCATGGGCAAAGAGGTTTAAAAACCAGCCTTCATTGCAAGAATGCTTGGCCAGTCTGGGACAAGTATGAGATGGGGCTCGCAGCAAAAATTGCCTGTGCTGGCACGGTTTTGCACCCACCACATTTCTTTACATTGGGTGCTGCTCCACCAATGGTAATGCCACGATGCCAGATGGTACATGTTTTATTGATCACACCCCCTAACGTTCCTGAACCAACTTTTTCAAAACATACATGTGGCCAATGGCCAACCCATTTCTCTTAGATTCAGTTTGTCAATCCCAAACAGCTTTTTGGTGAAACCCGCGCCATGTTGGTGAACCCCGCTTAAACATGTCCAGAGTCATGGTATTGAATCACCCAAAAAAACATAGTCTTGTTGAACAAATATAGCCCATTGATTTGATGAACCAGACATGGAGAATGTAGGTGAACCTATTGGAAAAAAACAATGTTTTTATAACCTCCAAATACTCCAAATCAGCAAATTCCTCCGTTCACTGCTTGGAGGCTCGATGTTTCGCGGACCAGGCGCCCTGGGAGCGTTGGATTAAATCCGAGTAAGATTTAACGACCTCACTGCGACCGAACCCTGGAATCATGGTTAATAAGGGAAAACATCCCCTTCTATGGCCGAACTATTCATGTTGGTGAAATATGATAATTTACCTAGGACCTAGATCAAATCAAAAATAAAAATGTTATATATTTTTCCCACCTATAACCAGGACATACCAGGACTATAAGCAACCTTTGTGGGTTTGTTTGTCTGAAAACGATCCCTAAATCCATTGATGAATCTCCATTTTCCCTATCAAATTGGCCATAAATGCAGGGTATGCCGCATTGTCAAACATATTCAGATGGTTGAAAATTAAACATTGCCAAGTGAATCAATGGGGATATTGATATTGAACCAAAGACGAGGTTGTTTCAACGGTATTTGGGTTTGGCAAATAGAATGCCCCCAAGTTTCGTGGTTAATGACAACTTTCCTGAGGACCATTTTGGTGTATTTTCACACGCATCCCTGAGAATGAACATTGAACGTGCCCAATTTTTAGCGGACACATTTCTACCGCCAGTTCACGACGTCAGAACGACTTCACCAGGTATTTCGTAAGGAAAATTCTGAAAAACGAAGATGTCACAACAACGAGTGAAAGTGTACATGGTTTATTGGAGGTTTTTTGACATGATACTGTGATCCTGCACCAGTTGGCAACCGTTAGGTAACTATGAAAGATAGTAAATAATGAGATTATGAGGGGATACGCCATATACCATCTGGTGCAGGATTTCTTCCATCCACCGTATCATTTACCCTATGGTTATGACTAACAGTTTGCCATGGTATATAGATGGCCCTAATCGAAATAGATGGTTTACCGTTCTGAAAAAAACATGGTGATGGCTTCCAGATGGCAAAGTGTGAATGTCATTTCACCAGATGGTACCCACAGGATTTTCTTTTAAGGGTGAATCATAACATATGATTAAAATCTGGAAGGGAAGCGTCACCAAAAATGACCCAAAAATTCAGGTTGGTGAATTCCAATAATTCATCCAGATTGGTTCGTGATATCAGTGATATGCCAATTTGTTTGCCTTGAAATCCGAATTTAAATTCATTGTTGATGGTTTGGTCTCCATTTTCCATGGTCAAATCCCACTTCTACTTGTATATCAAATCCATTCAAATCCATGTTGGATATAATGTGGTAAGCGCGTTTACAAAAAATGACTAAATTCCCATTTGAGAATAATTGATACCATTCATGTTTGATGTCTCCAAACTTGGAAAAAATGTTTTGGGTATACCATATGCCACCATCTTTTGGCCAGGTAGCAATTCAATCTGATGGTGTGGAACTCAGATCAAGGGGTGGCAGCAACCAGAGACTCACAGTTATGTGTCCGGCCTTTTTTTGGTCATTTAGGGAACGAACCTATATAATTTCTGGATAATTTTGGGAAATTAATTGATCAAATCATCAGCAGAAGAAAATATAAACTGTGGGAAAAATGGGAACCATCTGGTACTGACTAACAGTTCGCTATGGAAATCATCATATTGAATCGGTAAATGATGGAACTAAATGGCTCACATACTGTAGCTATTTGAATTACCAGAGGAATCTATACTCTCTAAGAATCTTAGATGGTTATGTGCATTCGTGGGCGGATGAGGTTTGTCATTTTGTACAGGCTCCCCTGGTTTTTGCCGATATATATATATATATATATATATTTCCACACAAAAACAGCTTGATCACGATGACCCTCCGGTAAACTAACATAATTATGGAAAATCACCATCTTTAATGGGTAAATCAATTATTTCTATGGGCCATTTTCAATAGCCAACTGTAACAAATTACCGGAGGGTACTTCAGAATCCCAGAGAAGAAATACGGCAACCCGATATACATAGTGGTACCCCCCAGTGATGTTTGTTGGTTTATAAAGCCCATGAATACTATAGATATAAGCACTATAAACCATAGATATTGGAGTTATAAACCAACTATATATCTACCAGGAAAGTCCTACAAAAATTGTAGTTATGTAGGCCCCAACTGAACGCGATTCCGAACTGGGGCACTATGTATATCCAACTACCTCGGGAAGTAAAACCCCGATGTATGTTAAACGCATGTAGGATCACGTAGGTTAACACTACACATTTTCATGTTTCAAACTGTATGAACATTCCGCATGTTAATTCAAACCATGTGAATTGCCTTTTTTCTGGTAAAATAACTATTCTTTCTTTTAGAAATCCAAGTTTGTCGCTGGTCAATCCTCAATTGTTGATAGTTAAATCACCTTGAACCACGTGAAAAATCTCAATTAGGGGCATCAAGTCACGTTATATATCTTCATTTTCATATAGTACATATAAGTTAAAATTCATACATATTACATATTCATGTATTGTTCATGCAGGATGGGGCCCCCAAGATAGCGTTCAGTTGGTTTATAAGTGGCTTAACAATGGTTTATGGTAGATATAACGAACTAGTTCATGGGGATTATTTCATGGTTTATAAACCAACAAACATAACTATGGGGCCCCATCTTGTGGTTGAATCCCAATTTTCCCATCATTTTTGAGTGATCATCCCAATCTCCCTATATAAATCGATGCGTTCCACGCCGCTTAAGGCGGCGTTCCAAGCCGCGCAGATCCGGAGCCTTTTAGGCCGCGGCTGGGCCACTGGTACCACCCCCTGTATAGTTCGATCCCATAATCAATGGCCATGTGGCATTGATGTGGTAGACCCAATAATAGGTATATCATATGGTATAAAATATTGGAATATAGTGGTTTATTGGGATAACATATGGGATATTCAATGAGTAAAGGTCCCAATTCACTGGTCATTTCAGGAACCGATTGAGGACGGAGGTACCGATTCCAGATATGTTTGGCCTATATAATAAGGCCTATGTAAGGGGATATACCCCCAAAATATGGTCAGACATATGGTACAGTACCTCCAATTTAGGATCCTGGAATTCCCACTGACATAATGATTAATGGCTCATATAAACATTGAACCATCATTGACAATGATTAATGGCTCATCATATGATTAATTCATGATTATGGCCAATTAATCCCAACATGAATGGTTCATATAAACATTGACATATAATTAGTGGCTCATGTCATCATGAATAAAGAATATTGGGATTAATTATATGGTAGCCTTGATCGTTACTTTGGTGTAGCTGGGGGTAATCACTAACAAGGAATAAGGAGGACTTAAATGAGGACGTTTTACCAATACACTGGGGCTAGAAAGGAATTTGGCACCAGAAAATTGGAATGTGTACTACAATAATTAGTGATTTCAATGTCTTTGATCTTGGACTATTAGAATTGACCTTGCCAGCAACATCAGGATATTTAAGCCAGCAAAAAACTGGTGATAGAAGGAAAGCCAACCCGGATGTCAAACAGAAAACATGGTTTATCCAAAGATTTGTTTGTGTATGTTCCTCTTTTCAGAAAAAAAACACACGTTTGCCGGTTTGCCCCTTTTCTGGTTAACAAGGTTTGCCCCTTGTTCAATTTAACCTTGTTAACCACTATTAACAACTATTAACCACTATTATATAACCACTACTAACCAAAGGGACAAAGGTTGGCCCCTTTTCTGGGATGGCCATCCCAAGGTTTGTTGCTTCTATTGAATTATTAAGCAAACACCATATGTTTGCAGATAAAATCCATATTTGTATAGCTTAATCGGAGAGTGGAAAAATGTTTTTTTTCATCAAATCTAGGTAGTTAAATCTTGACTGTTGCAGTTATGGCCCGGGTTACCACTTGCACGTCAGCTAGTTACAAAGTTATAACATGTTATAGCCCTAACAAAGTGGAAAATAAACACCCAATTATAAATGGTATATAATGTTAGTTATAACTTATAACATATTAACATGTTATAAAAGTTACAACTTACCGTTTATAACATTTTATAACCATAAATACACAACATGTTCTCTATAAATGTTCTCTATAAACATTTTCACCATTTATACCATGGGTTTTTCACGGCCGAGCTTTGTCGTTGTGGTTTACTCTCCCAGCCCACCGAAAGGCCGCATCCTATGAGTCTGAGGCGGCGATGGTGGGACTCAAGAATCCATCATAGTCATGGGATAGATGTTTTGTGCAGGTTGTAGTCATGCTGATCTAGGCGGATTTTAATCATCATAATCATAATCAAAGATTTTTATCCATAAACAGGTTTTTCTTTTTTTTGTAACACATTTTCAATGAATAATTGAGTCAGTAATTTAATTGAGATGATTAATGTTGTTTTTTGCTATCTGGATAATGTGATGTGACAAGAACTTGGATCTGCAGCTGGAGTTATTAATGGGGATAATTATGGTGACAATTCCCATAAGTTGGGATATGGGGGGGTTACAACTATGGCTACTGAGGCATTGATTTCTCCATGGGTCTCAATGGCACTTAAGAATCAAGAATTGGGAACTATCCCATTACTAAGGATGAGTTTAAATGAGATTCAAGATAATTATGGGTTTTAATGGGCACTTTTAGAATTTTTAATCCCATTTCAATATTATCATAGGTCACCGGGATATGGTTAAATAAAATCTGGAGAATATCATGGGAGGATAGCCGGGAGGTGCGACTTTGATGGCTTGGGATATGGGGCCCCTACAACTATGCTTTGGTAAGGTGAGACCTCCACTTACGAACTAAGTTGACGCACATCACTTGGTTTAGGGTTGATGATTGGGACATATACCCTCTGGTAATTTAACGTAGCTATTGAAAATGGCCATAGAAATAATGGATTTTCCCATAAAAAATTGTGATTTTCCATAGTTATGTAACAGTTTACCAGAGGGTAAACCATGGCATTAGTAAACCAACAACAACCGTTTGGGTTGATTAGGGAAATACGCTCTAATCTCCCAGGCATCGGTAACCGGTAATTTTTTGGTGACTTTGATGGCTGTGACAGTGGTTGTACCATGTTGTACCCCCCCAGCAGTTGGGGTATACCCCTTAGTTCACTATGGTTTTGTTTCCACTTGGGAAACTCATCCATAATCTTACTGGTGCTTAGCAGGGAATGAGGGAATGATCCAGAAGAACTATCAATAATCATGCCATTTCCCCATTCCCATCCATTCCCTACGTTTAGCACCAGTAAGTAATTTGCGATTCTTCCAACTTGCCACGTTTGAGACAACCAGAAAGTAAACCAGAAAGTATCCCCTCTGGTAAACTTTCACATAACTATGGAAAATCACCCTTTTCTAGCTGGGTAAAATCCACGAACTAAATGGCAATTTTCCAGTTTGCAAACGGTTCGTTTACCAGAGGGTAACGAAACAGAACAGGTCAATCTCCACCTAGAGACATGTAGCTTGCTAGGATACAGCTTGCTAGGGAAGATCAAGGAGTGTATACTGGTGATTTTTGACATGAGGAGTAGCCCAAGTAATGGCGATCGAAAAGTGTGGAAAATGATCAACTGCTGGAGTTGTTAGGCACCAAATTTCAGTCAAACTCAGAAAGACAGCGAGCGATAAAAAAAATGGGTCCCCAAATCAATGCCAACAGTTTTTCCGAAAAAATGTGGTTACTTTTTGATATATATATATTAGATGAATTAGATGATATTTTTTTCGAAAAAACGTCCGCCGGTTTCCAACTGTTCTTTCTATTTTGGGGCTGCTAGAAGATGGTGCCCCCAAGTTGTAAGTTGGTTTGTAATTGCCAAAAAATGTGTAGATATCATGTCCCATGTATATATATATATACATATCATCTTCCCATATTTTACACCACAATTATATATATATACAATTATTGGGTATATCGGTATATTCCCGTAACTTTTTGCGAACGTTTTTCATGGGCACCAAGCCACCTTCGACAGGATGGTGCTTTCCAGTGATGCGAACGTTGCTTTGTAAAGCCCATGAATACCATATGGTTATAGTAGATATAAACTATGTCTATAGTAGATAATTCTATGGTTTGTGGTAGATATAACGAACTAGATCACTATATTTGCTAGTTATCTATCTATATATATATATATATAGTTACATCTACCATAAACCATCGTTTTTTCAGCCACTTTTCGAAGGCGTTTCTGAACGTTATTCGACTGGGGGCCCCATCCCTCTAAGACCATGAGATCCCAAACCTTCAACGAGGGCTTTACACTTATGGCCCGAAAGACATCCCAGTTATAGCTGGTGATTTCCATGCTTATTTCTGGCGATTCTTCCTTACTATGGTTACTTATTTCTATGTGCTTACTTATATATTTTTTCTTATTTCTATGTGCTTATTCTTCCATTTCTATGGGCTTATTTCAACGTATACTTCTCATTGGTTTTTCACCAGGTCATGTCGAGTCTTCTCGGTGCTGATCATCCGACGAAGCTGGACATCAGTGTTATATGGCAAGTTCAACCACGTTTTTGCTGCATTCGCAATTCAAGTCGCTAGTGTTTCTAGATTTACATTTTTCTCTACTTTCAAGTACCCTCTGGTAATTTAACATAGCCATGGAAAATCACCATTTTTAATAGGTAAACCATCTATAAATGGGCCATTTTCAATGGCAAACTGTTAAATTACCGGTACTTTTCCATGTCTTTTCGGATAAAATTCCCATGTCCAACTTCCGGGGTCCGACTGGGGGTCCCACTTTTTTGAAACCGTCATGGCGCCCAGGTTTGCTTACACCACCACGCCCTTCTTTCCCATCTGGGTGCGCCATGGGAGAATAAAGCCTGGAACAGCGGCGCCGCAACCTTCCCACTGGGGGATTTTCATGATTGATACGTGAAACACTGCGGATGAAGTCAGTCATGAAAAATTCTCCTAGGAAAATTCTCCAGTGTTATCTAAGTAAGCTTTTTGTCTTGGTAGATTGCAGTTCTTAGATGGCTTAGCTTAACCAGACAACCAGTTGGTTCATAAACTCCATTTATCTAGTTCGATATATATACATATACTTGGGCAAATTTGATCACGACCTCACTGTCCTCCCGAACCCTGGAATCATGGTTAGTAAGGGGACACATTCCCAAGATAGCCGAACTTTTCTGGTTAGTGAAATATTAGAGTTTACCCAGAAATATGGTACCAATAGTTCCTATCTATAGATGGCTATATATGGTATATATGGCTATAATTTACCCAGATATATCCGTACACCATAAACCCAACATGTAAGTATTGGTTGTACCTACGAAACTTGGGTTTCACCTTGCAGAAATGGAGGTCACTTTTCTGATTAAAAATTGCCAGAAGAAAACCCAATATATACCAATTATACTCAAGAAACTATAATAGTATACACCAATTGTACTGGCAAAATCCCACTATATATATATCACATAATTGGTATATACCCACTCTCTCTCTATATTTATATGTACACCCAGTCTACTATATTATTATACCCGCTATATAATATATATATATATGTCATTATATACCCCCATGATATTCACATAGTTTCTGGGTGTCCATTTGTGACAAGCAACTTCGCCAGCGCAACAACTTGCGGGACCTCTGGAAGCGAAAGAAGGGCAAACGTCTGGGAAAGGGGATGTCAGGAGCCCCAGATTCGTGTTCCTCAGGGTCAAAGCCCAAGAAGTTGCTTGGGTTTAGTTTGAATACGGTTATGGGGGATATGGTATATTGGGGATGTATGATATATGAGTTATGAGGATAAATCAACAGTCCTATAAGACGGTTTTTGTTTCATGAATGTGGATACCCTCTGGTAAACTAACATAACTATGGAAAATCACCCTTTTTAATGGGAAAATCAACGAACTAAATGGCCATTTTCAATGGCAAACTGTTAAATTACCCGAGGGACGTGTATTATTTTGATTTACGGTACCCTCTCGGACTCAAACGTGGCTGGCTGGATTTTTTTCCAGCAAACCCGCATGGCTAGTTCAGGGATTTCCCAACTAGCCACGTTTGATGACAGCGGAGGGTATATCTACTAATACGTACAGACCCCGTGGTTTGCCCGGACTGCAACATTGAGGATTCCCTGTCGTCGAACATAAGAAGAGAAATTGCAGAAAATACTGCGTATACGCAGTGTTTTCTGCTTTCGGATTCAGAGTTTTCAGGGTTTTAGGGTTTTAGGGTTTCAGGTTTAGGGTTCGTTTTGAGCATGTCGAAGGATAACATATTTTGAACTCCATTCTAACCTTGCGGGCAAACCATAGGGTCTTGCCGTACTAATATTCCATCAATATTCAAAGATATTCTTATTATATCCCTAATATACTACCATTATTGTCTCATATTTTTCAAGTAATTCCAAAAACAACATTATATTCCATTCATATTCCATTAATATACTATTTATATTACATTTATTTCGATTATATCATTATCTTTCAACAACTACCATTAACCCTAATCGTTGCCTACCCACATGGGTACCACGGATGGTGCCAAACGCAGAAACGGGGATGACGTCATGGTCGACTCGGCAGAAATGAAACAGAAATGATTGATGATTTTCCAATCGAACATAGTCTAAAGAATGGTGTATGATAAAATAAATCCATGGTTTTCCAAGAATCTCGGAAAAAATATGAAATTTCATTAATTTTGTATAATCCAAAGAATATCATTAGAGTAGTATACATTGTGATAAACACATGGTTTATGCTACTTTTTCTATTTTTTCTTATTCCTGGGTTTTTTCTAAACCAACATCCCGATCGCAGGTTTAAGCTCCACTACCCCCATAGTTTGATGGTGGGTTTATCCCGTTGGAGTCATGGGTTTATCCCAGTAATTTCTATTTAGAAGTAGGTCAACCAAAACCCATAAACTATAGTTGTATTGGCAATAAACATCAACGCACCATAGTTATTACAGTCATTGGCCAACTTAGCTATCACAAATCATCTACACATCCCATGAAAAATCACCATTTTATTGGTTCAGTTACCATTTTCCCATGGTTTTCCCAGTGGTTTTATCATTTAAGGTACTTCCACACCTCAATCTTGAAGCCAGGGTCGTTACGTGACACGACCTACCGAGGTCCGGTGACAAAGGTCTTTACTGGCGATCCAAACGACAGAAGGGCAAGCAGGCGAGCGCGATTTCATTGGTGGATTTCATTTGGGATGGATGTGGGTATGGATCAATACCTATGAAAATACCATTTTTAGGGGAATGAACATCCATTTTAACCCAGCTATTTTTAGGGGTTCACTACAGGGGTACAAGTGTGGTTTTGACACACTGCCATGTGGTTTTAAAACCCCATCGATGTCAAAGACCAGCCCTAGATCAAGGTAGGTTTTTGGTTTGGAAAAATGATATTACGGTAGGGTATGATATAGGGTTTTTTCTAGGTCTTTTAGTAGGCTTATTTTACCTATATAGATCAGATGTTTTTTTTAATAGGAAACATCTGTTTTTCAGAGCTTTAGTATTACCTTGATTCGTGACGGGATTTCGCGACCCTCAGGTAAACTTACAGATGTAACAGCCATGGTAGGATCTGCAAATCGTGGCAAAGGACACATCGTTGTAAACGTCGTTTACCCGGTTTTTTGTAATTGGTGAAGCGTTTGAAATGAATGTGTTTCAGCAACCAAAAATGGATTTTATCAGTGTCATCATCAAAAATGGCGAGTTCTACTATAGTTGAAACAGCTGGTTCTGCTCCCCATGCCGCATGTTTCAAACCGTCGAACCAAATGGGTCATTTTCATTCATTTTCGTCAATTTCCATAAAGAGCCATGTTTGTTTATCGAAGGGTGGACATGTAAATATATGTATAAATAAATATGTATAAATAAATATGTATATATAAATATGTATATATATAATATAGATATGTGTGTATATATATATAATTTTTGGGAATCCATGGATACATCCTCATTTCTGGCTACCTTCTTATCATCAACCATAGTTTTCCATCGCTGGAGAGTCCTCCTTCCACGTGTTTGGATTTTCAAAAAACGATGGATCTCGGGTTTTCCTAAAGTCCACTGCTTCGTCATCAAAATTCACATTTTTCGGGGGTTCCAGGTCAATCCACATCATAGGTGCATTGGTCATTCCCCCCATGGTTTTTCTGGATAACCCTCATTATCTCCATGATAACCCGCCATTGTTAATGCTTAAAATCCATAAAAAAACCCATATTGTTCGATGTATACTAAGTTAGTATAGCCATATCATATCCCCTAATTGTATACTTAAGGATCATCCCAGGGTCTTCGGAAGTGGTTAATTGTCGCCCTAGTTAGTACCCTCTGGTAAACTAACAGTTTGCTATTGAAAATGGCCATTGAAATAGTGAGTTTTCCCATTAAACATGGTGATTTTCCATAGTTTTTTGTATGTTTACCAGAGGGTAAATCTCGTAAGTAGGGTTATCCCATATGTAACTGGGTTAATCTCGTAAGTGGGCTTCTATCCCCACCAATGATATTCTTCCTATCCCATCCCTATCCCCATGAAATATCTCCACTTCCAGATGATTTGGTATGATTGTATCTAGTATAATCTAGTATTCATAATAGATATATGTATAATATATATATATATACATATATACATATATATATATATGTACCTATGTTATGTTATCCTTATTAGTCAAATTGTTGCTTGTGACTTATATCCCCATATATATATTATATCCCCAAATATAGTTATAGCAACCATATATCCCCACTAAAGTGGTAAACCCAATTTCATAAACCTTCCAATGTACCCTCTGGTAAACTAACATAGCCATGGTGGCGCCATGGCCCATAGAAATAGATGGTTTTCCAGTTACCAGAGGGTACCGACCATGACTGGGAGTCACAATACACATAATCCCAATTTCATAAGTTCCCTTTGGGGATGGTTTATGGCTTTTGGTACAGTACTACATCAATTATGATAGGTGTGTTTTTTTATGTATCCCATTAGTTGTGATAGGCATGATTAATGTATCCCATTGTAATATAGAGATAATTTGGGTTATATCCCACTATAGTCAAATTCTTCACATCCCATTTCAGTCTCCCCATGTATCATTATGTCCTCACATGAAATATCATTATCCCCACCAAAAAAAGCCGCATTTTAATGGGAATTCCAGGATCCTAAAATGGAGGTACGTCAAGTTAGTCCCATATTTTGGGCCTTATCTTGGGGCTATATCCCCGTCTGGTTGGTGGTTTGGAACCATGGAATTTTATGACTTTCCATTCAGTTGGGAATGTCATCATCCCAACTGACGAAGTCCATCATTTTTCAGAGGGGCAGGTTGAAACCACCAACCAGTATATATATATATATCATTTCCATCAACATAACTATGGAAAATCACCATTTTTATATAATGGAAAAAATCACAATTTTTAGTGGCTATATCCCCTAAAAATTTAGCCCTGAAAAAGTAGGCCAAACATAGATGCTACCTCCAATACCTCCTTAAAAAAATCGCTTCCTGTTGCATGATTCCGACCATCCTGTCCGTCGCCTATCTCCTCACAGACGCGCACCTGGGAACGTGGCAACTTTCCGCTCTTCAAACGTTTGCCCAGATGGCCTGAGGTATTCTTGATCGGATGGTGACGGGTTGATGACTGGAAAATAACCATTTTTTAGAGGTAAACCATCTATTTCTATGGGCCATGGCTTCCATGGCTATGTTAAATAACCAGAGGGTACCTAGAGTTGTTGTTTTTTCTATATGTGAATTTAGGATGAAGATCCGGGGTAGAGTCAACATACCATCAAGATTGTAATTATTTTAGAGTCAACAGAAGGGTTTTGAAGGGTTTTGACTCAGATCCATTCACTTGAGAGGTTTTTTTTGGGGGGTACCATATTCTTGGGGATTGCCGGTTGGTGTCTCCAGTTGAAATTTGTTTCTCTAAGAAAGGGATGATGATTCAACGCTACATTTCAACAAAATCAGGTGCAGGTGTTTTGGTAGATTTGGGATTGTTTAATGAAAATTGAACTGAACCAAGATTCTACGATTTCTATCGGCCAAATGGAGATTCTTGACCTACCCTGTTTGTGATTCAACGGGGACCCTCGGATCCACAAAAAAACATGGAATTTAATGCAGAAATGCTCACTCCTCGCTGGCACAAAGTGGCGAACCCTACTTAACCTCCATCAGATGTGGCGATCGCTGGGAAGTGTCGATGAAAACTTGGAGGTTTCTAGCTGGGAAAATTATCCATAAATGCTGGATTTTCCAGCAAACCACGTTTGATTGATCGGAGGGTATGATCAAATTGGCTACAAGTTTGAATCAATTCTTGCTAGACCAATGTTATTCAGAGGATTTTTCTGCAATCTTCCAGTCGAGTCAGAATTCATGGGCGGAAACACAGACGTCTGGGTACAACAAATCTGTCCGGAAGTGCGAATTTATGAGGATGATGGACATCTACAGAAACAGGCGGTTCCAACTTTGCTGTTTTTTTTTAACGGTCAGAATATCTTTGGCCCGTCACATTGGCAGGCACACATGAGAGGTAAAAGACCTGAACTGGATCCCCTGAACCTCTCTAAGCTGTCGGGGGCCTCGGTGGACGTTGAAACAGACGATGAAACTTGGGCAATCAAATGATAGATAGATAAATAGTTGATGATGTTTAATAATGGATGTTTAAGCAGAACTTCTGTTGAGTTGCAATTGTTGTTGCGACATTTCTTTCTGTTTGAGTGTGAAACTCCTGATATAATGTGGGTTTACCCAATGATTTTTTATCATCCCCAGGATCATTACGGCATTGGTAAAACTAATGTGGAGAAAGTCCAAAATAGTTTACCACATCAGTTTATCAATGGTTTTTATAGTGTGAAACTCCTGATAGCACGCTGTTTCTACAATTTTTTATGGGTAAAAACAATCCCCTAAATGGTAGCTTCACGGTGGGGAAAACCCACATGGTCACCTTTCTGGGTCAATTGGCAATTTTTGGCAATGTTTGGTGGCTACCGAGGTTAACACATATCCCCAAAAAAGGGGTTTGTGATATCGAGATAGAGTACACAACGAAGAAATTGAACACGTGTAGATATATACCATTTGGTAATTTAACATCACTATGGAAATCACCATTTTTGATAGGTAAACCATCTATAAATGGGATATCAGTACCGGTTACCCTTTGGTAATTTAACATGTTGCTATTGAACATGGCCATTTATAGTTGATTCACCTATGAAAAATGATGGTTTTCCATAGCTATGTTAGTTTACCAGAGGGTAAGAAATATGTATACTGAAAGAAACCTTCTGATGTACATCAAATGTTGAGTATATTTCAAGAAATAGCAATGGGTGTAGATATGTAGTAGATCTACAAAAATGTTGATCTATGGCATGCCACATATTTTCTGTACATCTACTGGGCATTGAGTACATTGTACACATTCGGATGTTACGGATCAATGGGAATTCCAGGATCCTAAAATGGAGGTACTGTACCATATAAGCATTGAACGGATGATTCACATGATGAGTTTCTTGGATTTCAACTCTCCTGATTTTAAGGGCTATCACCGGCGATCACCCCCGCGGACCTTGTCGCTGAAAGTCCGGACAAAATGTCACAGAAAACATCAGAAAACCCATCAAACTTGGGGGAAAAAACATGTGAAAACCCGACTGAAAGGAGTGAAGAGATCCCAGCTTTGTTTCGACTCCAGGCTGTAGTAAGGAATCCCAGAAAACCCCTGTGAACATATCACTTGGAGAGTCATCCCAAGGTGGGCCCAAAATGTGAATTGTAAGTTGGCCTATAAACCAATTGTAAGTTCTGTTAATTGTAGATATATATAGCTATAATGACCAAAAGCCCATTGGAGTTATCATCCAACCCAAGCACGTGATTAGTAAAATGATGTAAAATGGCAATGGAACCTCGCCCATTTATATTTTCCCAGCTATAAATCTCCATATTTTGCATGGCTTTTCACATTTTTTTCCCAGGATGTTCCCATATATTTTTTCAATTTTCCCATGGATTGTCCCATGATTTTCTCATGGAAAAAAAGGGTAGCCAGGGTAGCTGGCTGGATGATTTCCCCGTGGCGAAAGCTCCATTTTCTTCAGGCGCTACTTCATCCAGAAGGGCCGGCTGGACTGAGTCGAGTTGGGGATCAGAAAATGGAGATGGGTCAAAACCTGTGAAATTACGATGGGGCATCTATAAAATTCTATAAATCCCAGCTATCTTAGTGTAGCTAAGGTGCCAGGGTTTTCTCTTCGATATCACAGGGTTATTTATAGCTATAATGACCAAAACCCTATTGGAGTTATCATCCAACTTACCAACTTACCATATCATAGGCTGAAGTACGGGAATGGGTTACTTAAATTCGCTAAGCTACATAGCTAAGCTATAGGAAGGATGTCACCTGCTCAATTGGGTGCACAAAATCCTGCAGGGGCTCCTGGAGCATCACCGGTCATTGCAGTGCCAAAATGGGCTCCCATTTTGGAAGTACCAATTGGCTACTTCAGAGAGATTATTCAAGGTGTGTGTGCCGTTAGAGAAGCATTAACTTCTGAAGAAGCTACCCTCTGGTAAACTAACATAACTATGGAAAATCACCATTTTTAATGGGAAAATCCACTATAAATGGTCATTTTCAATAGCTACGTTAAATTACCAGAGGGTACTGCGACTATCAAAGTGCTGAAGCAGTACAAGGTCGCGGAAGCTGCGGCACAGGGAGGACAACTCCCACTTTGGAGCGAAGGCATTGTTGACAACATTGCTGAAGAACTTGCCCGATGTGCCACGGAATTTTGTGGAGCTTGAACAAGTGCTAGAAGCCATCAGGAATGTCACAGTCTGATGCATGCACCGCTCCAAATCCCTGCAGAGTATCAAATTCTCAGATAGGTCTAGGCCTAAAATTGAATTTGGAAACAGAAGGATTCCTTTATAAGTCCAAACAACATTGAAAAACCACAGGAATCCAAATTTTGTTAAACTACTCCATGCGAAAAAAACAGCCATTAACATCCAGATGTTGTTCAACTTTCGTAGTTATTCCTGCAAGGTCGCGACTGAGAACTTACTTGATGATGCTAGGAAGTCCCATCTGCGGGGTTGTCCGCCTTAAAAACCTTGATAGTCAATGTTTTTTTGGCAAAACAATGGGAGTGTCCTATAAATTTTCCATTAGATCCATTGAGATACATCAACAATTCTTATCCCATCCAAGAGTGACTAATGCCCATAGTTTGTTAAACCCAATAGTAAACCATCCCCTATATATTGCCATAAATCGGTAAAAGCCAGTCCCAAATTGTAGGTTTGTTGTATTGGCTTTGCTACACTACTCATTATGGATCCCCCACAAGGTGGTGCCCCTCCAGTTATAAGTTGGTTTATAAACCATAGTAAGTATAGATATATATCTACCATAAACCATAGTGAAATTGGAGTTATGTAAGCCCCAACTTAGCGATTCCGAACTGGGGCACCACCTTGCAGTAATCAATTCATCCCTATCTCCGGTCCAGTGAGATGAAATGGCACAAGAAAACGCCCCAGTTGATGAACACCAGTGAAGGATCTACCCTCTGGTAAACTAACATAGCTATTGAAAATGGCCATAGAAGTAGTTGATTTATGTTGATTTACCCACTAATAGCATGGTGATGTTCCATAGTTATGTGAAAGTTTACCAGAGGGTAATTTTTATGTATCTACTTACAAGGCAATCAGTGCAAGTGGGGGTCCCCCTTAGTTATGAGTAGTTGTGTTTCACCAACTTAGCGATCGGAAATGGGGGTCCCACATTGTATCTATATCAGTACTATCTATATTAATATACAAGGTGGTGCCCCAGTTCGGAATCGCTAAGTTGGTGCACGGAACTCCAATTTCACTATGGTTTATGGTAGATATATCTATACTTACTATGGTTTATAAACAAACTTATAACTGGGGGGGCACCACCTTGTAGTATCTATAGTATCTTGGATATAAAATCTACATATACAAGTCATGCATCTAACCTATTGGATTATCATATTGTATATGTACATATCCAAGTTGATTCATTATTTTATACATATATATATATAGATAATTCATCTATATCTTATTAGTCATTATCACATGTAATTACACACACATATATATATCATATATAGAATATACTACTTAGTTGGTGCACCAACATATCTTACATATAATTACTAAACACAGTTAATCTATCTTAATCTATATAGATATAATCACATGATATAGTATAAAAATGTATAAACCAACTTAGCTTAGCCAACAACTTGAGTCCTCCTTGGGGGGGAAAACCACAGGACACGCGCTTTCCGATCACCCAACGTCACCTGCAAGACTCCAGGTTCGGAGCCGCTGCGTGATGTCAACCTTTTAATAAAGGCACATTTAGTGTGTTGCCTCATTTTACTTAGAGGACATGTATAAACATATACATATAATTCATGGTTTTCAAGATAATGATCTGTAGGTAATGAATGATATATATATAAGTATATATATAATGATATACTGTGGTAAACCCAATGCCATACACCATCCCCTAAGGGTAGGTTTATGGCATAGAGGGTTTCCCACTTGAATCTAATCCACGTAGATAATTTTTGCCATATGAATCATCTGAATGTTGATTTGTTTAGTTGCTTTAGGTTGCTTTCTCAGCAGAAATGGGGGTTGAACCACCAAAATATGATGCCAATCTGCTCACAGAAGAGGGTTTTCAGGGGATACAACATGATACAACCATTTTGCTGAGAGATACATGTGGTTTCACATGTGCCTTCATTCCCATTTGTAAAAATGAGATGATGATCCCTATATCATATAGTATTTAGGGGTGCGTAACCAGACTCCTTCATCAACCATCACGGGTAGCGATGGCCGAGGGATAATATGTCTGGGTAAATTTCATCACGACCGAACGTCGCGTCCTCCCGAGCCCTGGAAATCATGGTTAGGATCCGGGGAATCATCCCCAAATGGCCGAACTATTCAGGTTAGTGAAATATTATAATTTACCCAGATATATGATGATTTTAGCTATGAACAAAAAACGATTTTCCACTTCGCAAGCTGTTTGTTGGCAGATGGTCAATCATCATTCTAAATAGTGTTTCTATCATTAAACAAACAATTATATGTAATATTTGGGTAATATTTTTTGGTTTATCTAATATTCAAATTCACCACATTTATGGTAAAACAGGTTGCCTCCCATTGACAGACGGGGATGATTTGTTTCATGTTTCCAAAGATTTTCCCCCGAAGTTGGCGGAATGGCACGGCAGGTGCGTGAAGCGGGTGAAGTTGGGCGTGAAGCTCTTTAATGCCTTGGAACTCAGTTGAAGATGATGATCCTTGGAATTTGGGGAGGAAATTTGTTGGAATTTGTTGGAATTTGGGCATTGCAATGGCAACATATGGCAACATTTTACTATGGTTGATGTAACTTCATTGAATCTATAACCTACCCTCTGGTAATTTAACAGTTTGCTATTGAAAATCACCCAGTCGAAATAGTGAATTTTGCCATGAATAGCATGGGTGGATCTTTCCAGTTCGCTATGTCACAGTTTACCAGAGGGTAGCTGCTTCAGCAGAGGCTTCGTGAGTTATTGTAATTTGCCCAGACAATATGAATCGGGATGTTTTATGGTATATAAGCAACCAAAGATATGTTGATATGTGTGTATATATATATATGATATACACATATACATATATACATATATATACACGTATATATGTATGGTGTTTTTGAAAAATATCCTGGGTATGATAACTAAACAACAAGATAGCATAGCCATTATTTTTTTTGTGTGTGAAAATAGGGAGGGTGTGGTACACAATATGGCATTAATTGTAAAAACCTCCCATGGTGAAGAATGATACTGATGATGATACAGGATGGCCCCCCCAGTTATAAGTTGGTTTATAAACCATTATAATCCCCATTAACTATAGTTATATCTACCATAAACCATAGAATTCAGCCACCTGTAAACCAACGGTTCACGCTATCGTCTGGGGGCCCCATCCTGTACTGATGAAAAGATTCTGAGATGGGTGTGTCTGAGAATGGGGCATACCCCCCAATTATGGCCATATAAATAGGGAACATGATGATGAATCAGTGAACAGACAAGCCCCAATGAACCACTTGAGCCAATGGATACTGCCTTCTTTATTGGGGATTATGATGCTCCATAGGGAAACCGCTCTCAACCAACTAGTATATGATATGAGATGGGAAAACGGGTGTATTTCTCATGGCTCACTTCATATCCTTTGTTGGTATTGCTTCGATATCTATGTTTGGATGAAGAAAATCCCCTTGCTTCGTAGTCGACCTGGTCATCGTTGACCAAATCACCATTTTCTTAGTTCCCGAATACCAATTCTAATTGTCAATTGTTACTGGTCAAGTTCAATCCCTATTGTTTGGGAATGAACAAAATTTCATTGCCAAACACGCGAATTCATTGCCAATTTTGTTGAACAAAATCCCCTTTTGTGTGTTTTTTTTTGTCAATGCCTATTGTTCATCAGTAACCATATGTAACCATAAACCATAGTTATATCTACCATAAACCATAGTTAATTCAGCCACTTTTCTAAACCTTTTTTCAATGGCGATCGATCTCCGAGATTCATCGACATCTCCTCTGTTCCGAGGTCAATGACTTTCCTTTTCCCTACAAGATCGATATCGAGGTGGGATGAACGGAAAAGATTTCAGAAATTGTCTCGCGAGATGAATGTTCAGAGGTGCCATAGATTTTTATATGGTATAATTAATATATATATATATTATAAAGGTATAAATTCCTATTATACACCATATGGTATAATATACCATAGGATTTATGGTATAATATCAGAGGTGCCATAAAGATAGACCCTCTAGTAATTTAAGATAGCTATAGAAACTGTGGACCATCCATAGATGACTTATCTAATAAAGATGGTGAATTCCAGAGCTGTATTAAATTATCAGATGGGAATTGATTACTTATTACCACCTTCATGGTGATTTCACATGTTTTCAATTTTTACATCACGGAACCAAAAACTGATACATGTTCTGAATGTCAATTGGCTTATGGTAGCATATTGTAGCGACATCACAACCATCTCATCATGCATCACATGTGATGGTTCGTTACAGGAATCATCGTTTTTTGGTTCGTGAAGTTTCACGATTTCCCACATATCATAACCTCCGATTGTTGGGACCCAAAAAGTGAGCAGATCCATCATTGTTCTACGTCTAATTAAGGCCAGGATAGTGATTCAAAAAGGCGACTATCAGTCTAAATGAATCACCATGTTCACTTTGTTTATTGATTGAATCACCATTTTTGATTGCTTAATTCACCATTTTCATTGGTTACATCACCGTGTTTATAGGTTAAATATGGTTAAATCACCATGTTTATTGGTTAAATCACTATTTTCATTGGTTCACTCACCATGTTTACAGGTTAAATCACCATTTTTACAGGTTAATAAAGATGGGTGAATCATCATTTTTGATTGGTTCACTCACCTTTTTTTCATAGGTTAATCACCGTTTTTACGGAGTTAATTCACCATTTTCATAGGGTCAATCACCATTTTCATAGGGTCAATCACCATTTTCATAGGTTAATCACCAGTTAAGTCACCTTGAACTCCACCATTTCTTCCGTTTCAAAACGGCGTACGGCGGTTAGACGGCGCGTAGGTGGCTTCGGCGGACCAGAGCTCCATCGACGCCATCCGCGCGGTGGGCGGCAGCGTGACGGTGGTCTATATGGAGCCGATTTCATCGGAGGTGTTGGTGCTGATTATACGACAGTTCCACCCTGGCATTCATCGGGGTTGTTTCAGATCAGTGAAACCACTAAAAATGGTTTATTTCCAGGGTCTATATGAATTTACCAGAGGGTATGTGATAATTATATATATATATATATATATTATATATATATATATATGGAATATCTGTGATACATGGATTTTTCCTGACAATGTATGGAATATAAATGAGAGTATCAAATATTGAAACATATGGAAACATATGGGAGAATATGGAATAATAATAATAAGTGGGATAGATATTACTTGGAGTACTGGGGACAAGGTCCACCACTATGTTGGTGATTATCCCAGTAATATGTTGTTGGCAACACATGATACACAATTATGGTATTGAAATACAAGGTGGTGCCCCAATTCGGAATCGCAAGATTTTAGGACACATCAATATATTCAATGTTATATCGAAATATTGCGATGATTGTATATGATTGTATCCCAGTTTATTCCAAAATCACCATGGTCGGTTCTATCCCATGCTATCCTCCCCACTGGTTGGTTTTATACATGCTGGTGCACTCTATTTCGAAGTTCGCTTAGAACTGCCTTTAACTGTACATAATGTCTATCTATCTATCTATCCATCAATCTATCTATCAATCTATCAATCACCAAAACCCCAAAATGAAGCCAAGTAGTGAACTTTCCACCATTGACCTATCGAACCAGGAGAAGGTGGCTTTGCGTGCGCACTTGAAACCCTGGAAATACGAGGCCGGCGCTTGTTGTTTCTGGCAGAACACCGGCAGATTTCAACCAGGGCAAGTCATGCTGATAGCAGCAAGAACTTTTCGGACGACGGGAGTTACCCTCTGGTAATTTAACAGTTTGCTATTGAAAATGGCCATTTATAGTGAGTTTTCCCATTAAAAATGGTGATTTTCCATAAACATGGTGATTTTCCCAGTAAAAATGGCCATAGAAATAGTTGATTTAGCTCTTAAAAAGTGGTGGATTTCCAGCCAGCCACGTTTGACATCGGCTAACCATCGCCTGAAGAAATTTTCGTGGGAAATCCTTGGATTTGCTTGGCGGATCCACTCCATCGATCTGCAGAATGGAATTCTTAAGCATAAAAAGTAGGACGTGACTGGAAGAGTTGAGAAAACCATAGGAAAAGCATAGGAAAATGGTGGCTTAATGGGATTTAATTGGATTTAATGGGATTTAATGGCACTTACCCTCTGGTAAACTTTCGCATAACCATGGAAAGATCCACCCATTTTATAGCTGGGAAAATCCACGAACTTTCGACTGGGCCATGGCTTCCAGTTCGCAAACTGTAAATGTTTACCAGAGATTAACGGTGATAATGATCAGTTACATTACCTAATCCTTAGTTATAATGAACAATTAAGTTGGATCAGTTGGATCATATAATGTCAACCCTGGAGTAATAAACCCTAAGTAGGCTGTTTGATTGGGGGGGGTACCATGAAAAAGTGTCATCAGCTGACTATTTGGAGGGTAGCCCCACAATTAATAAACCATGGTTTATTCATCGGGAGTTGACATTATAGATGATAAACATCATGATGTACCTAAGATATTTCTGATGGGTGATGTTCCATAGGTTAAATTGCCAGATATCCCTTTTTTCTATGGGTCCCAAATGGTCTCAAAATTTTCTTGTTGAGTTCTATCTCTTTTTTCACAATGAGTAGTTCCAGGTTCGAAGATGATACAGTGGCGCACCCTACATGTTGAATCAAACAGTGCCTGTTTCCATGAGTAAATTCACGCTTTAATCCTATCCCCTGTTCATATTAAACACCCCAACATTTCAGTCCCAAATATGTGATTTCCTCCCCTACATCCACCACGATATCTTGAGGCTGTTTTAGGACTGAACCGGGGGTGGGATTATATATCATTACATCCCCATATTGTGTTGGTTGTATTCCCATTATATCCTGATTCTAGATCCATCGGTAGAATGGAGGTACTGTACCATTTTGGGATATATATATACCATAGATCATAGATATAGATATATACCCTCTGGTACTTTAAAATAGCGAACTGGAAAATCATCGTTTTTCATAGATAAATCAACTATTTCCATGGGCCATGGATTCCAGTTCGCAAACTGTTAGTTTACCGGGTCAGGTAGTATATCCATAAATCACCATATATTTCCCATATTTTTCCAACAAATCACCATATGTTCCATATATTTCCCACAAATCACCATATTTTTCCATATATTTCACCATAAATCACCCCTATGCCATCCGATGCCACGCGTGACGCAAAAATCGCCTGGTCGACCTGGTCAGGTGTTACCACGCACGGCGCGACCTGGATTGAAGATGGTGTGGAAACTCGGAGATCCACGAGGGGCTGCTGTATAGAAGCGATGTATAGAATGTGTAGAAAACTCTACTGTAAGTGTATATTATTTATCTGGTTGGTGGTTTCAAACATTTGGATTATTTTCCAGTTCATATATGGGATGTCATCCTTCCCATTGACTAATATTTTTCAAGATGGTTAAAACCACCAACCAGTTATAGTTTTTTTTTTAATATGTAGATTTGGAACATACTTGAACTATTGGTGTTGATTGTTATTGTTATTGTTCTTATTGCTATTTTTGTTGATTATTTAAGTTTGTCATACTGTTCGATTGTTTGTTTTGAACCACCCAGTATGGATGAGAATCTCTATAATCTCTATAGGACCAAACCAGCATGGAAGGTCCATCTGACGGATTGTATGCATACTCCTCAAGACAGTGAGACGAGTAGTATAGATAGTGCTAGTAGTGTGTGTGTGTATGTGTGTTAACATAGATACATGTCAGCTTACATGTGAAATTTGAAAATTTTGAAGGTATGTGGGTGAGTGTCCCTTTATATACTCCATTAAAAAATACTCCATATATCAGATGAAAATCAGATAAATCAGATCAAACTCAGATCAAAATCAGATAAATCAGATTAAAATCAGATAAATCCAGCCGCTGTCTTTCATTCCTAGAGCTTGAAGCGCACGCGGCCCGCCGTGTTGTGCGGGTCGATCCGATCCGACCGGCGGCTTAAAAAATGCCAGGCGAAGTTTCGCAACAGATACGAAACTTACCAAATATATGGTGGTAAATAGTGGTTAGTAGTGGTTAATAGTGATTAGTAGTGGTTAATAGATGTTAAGAGTGGTTAATGGTGATTAATAGTTGTTGATGGTGATTAATAGTGAATAATCGTGGTTAGTAGTGATTACTAATGGTTAATAATGGTTCATAAGCATGATATGGTGGTTTCCTATAGGACTATCCCAATAGTTGGATGGTTTAAATTGGAAAATCCGATCTAGAAATGGATGATTTAGAGGTAGCCTTATTTTAGGAAACCTCCATATACATATAATGTTACATCTATACATAATCATCATAATTACCCATCCTTGTTCATCTTATTAAATCCCATTAAATCCCATGGAAAATCCCATTAAACCCTTATTTTCCTTTGGTTTTCCTATGGTTTTCTCATCCTTCATCATCACCATGAGCGCTTCAATAAATCCCTCAGTCTGACAACCGCCCGCCCGAGACCACCTACATGGAGAAAATGAAAGCCCGTGGAGCCATTGTCAGGCGCAAAAAATCGACCCGTTGCGCGACCTCCTGGGAGATCGAGTTAAACATCCAGCTTGCTGAAAAAAACAGAAAACAGGATTCCTATGAAAATTATGAAATGTAAGTGGTTATAAACAATATGACAATCAAAATAATCCATTGGTAGTATTGGCGGCAGCCACCTTCAACACCACCGCAGCAGCCTTTTGTCGTCGAAATGTTCGCTGGATCAGCGAGAGTGACCGCTTGCTTGCGGTACATTGGGCTTGCAGGATGTTTCGGTGTTGACCATGTGCTGAACAACAATGTAGCCAAAGTGGTCTCTGCTGACCTCACCACTGACAGTGGACAAACATTGTTTTGGAAATGGGTCACGTCCGACCAGTGTTTCGGTGTTTTTGTGGCCCCACCGTGTGGCACATGCAGTTTAGCCCGGAATATTCCTATCAGAGTCCCAGGGTCCAGAAACCGAAAAGGCCCACCTCCACTGCGCTCGACGCTTCACCCTGACGGCCTGCCTAGCTTGACATGGACACAGAGGGCACGAGTTGGAGCAGCCAACAAGTTATACAGTTTCCTTACAGAGGTCGCCCTATATTGCATCAAGAACAACAAAATTATCTGCATCGAGAATCCGAGGAGTTCTCTGTATTGGTTGACATCGTTCGTGCAACCGTTGTTACGATTCCTCTTCACAAGAACAATAGAGGAACAACAATGGGGATTTAACCAATTCAATGATTTTCTGGGTGGAAAGATGTGGTTTCGGACAAAGCCAAATAAGGATACAACCAGACATGAACTACTAAGTGGTTTGCACATACGGTTGACCTGTGGATTACACCAGTTGTGACTATTTTCGGGGATGCGATTGGTACCCTCTGGTAATTTAACATATGGAAAATCACCATTAATTATGTTGTGATTTTTCCCATGAATTTCATGGTGATTTTCAACCATCGTTTTTTTTGCAACGTTTACCAGGTTGGGTAAGCAAAACTAGCAAACTCAGCTGGGAGTATCCCAGCAGTTAGTCATACCTTCATCCAACCGTTGGTTCCTTTTTGACGCGGAGTTCATCAAAGCTGGAAAGTCCACCATTTAGTTAACGATGATTTTCCCAATGGCTTGGTTGGTACCAATAGCTATGGAATATAGTGGTTTATTGGGATACCTAATGGGATACCTAATGGGATTCATAACGGGTTGTTAACGATGATTTTCCCATTCGTAGCGTATAATAGATAAGTGTATGCAATAATTCCTGTTTTTCAACGTCTATATTTTTTCGGATGAATTTCCCGTTATTGGTTGAATCCCAAAAAAAATCCTCATAGATCCTCTGAAAAACGATGCATATATGGAAGGTGGTGCCCACCCAGTGATGTTTGTTAGTGGAAAATAAACCATGAAATAATCCCCATTAACTACTGTAGTTCGTGAAATATCTACCATAAACATCCATAAACCATATAGTTAATTCAGCCACTTATAAACCATAGAATTCAGCCACTTATAAACCAACCATAGATGATTTTCCCATTAATAGATGATTTTCCCATTTATACCTCCATTTATAAGGGATTTTTCATGGCTATGTTAAATAACCAGAGGGTAGTTTAATAAACCATAATAGCTAGTTCGATTAATATCTACCATGGTCACCCAAACGCAACGTTGGAGTTATGTTCAGCATAGTATATGTCTCTCCGACAAAATCGCTCCATCCCAGCATGGCTATGTAAACAATGATATTGGTTACTATATTAGTTGTATCCGCCTGATCCTAAGTTGCTTCAGATGTGCCTGATTATACAACTCTAATAAATAAATAAATATACATACATACATAAATAAATGAATAAATCAATAAATAAACATTTACTATGATTATACTAGGTATATATATATATCTATGATATATATATATATATATATGTATATATATATATATATTATATCATTTCCGTAAAGTGAACAATCCGAAGTAGCTATGACCTATGACTTCCAGCGTGTCCAGGTACATCAAACCCCTGTGGCTCATCGAAGAAGAGAAGCGGCTCCAGACGCAGCTCAGGGAGTTGCAGGGCGAGGACCCCATGGGTAAACCATAGGAAAACCATAGGAAAACCATAGGAAAACCATAGGAAAATGGTGGTTTAATGGGATGAAGCATGGGATTTCATGAAGTTTACCCGGCCTGGTTATGTCATAGCATAGCTATTGAACATGGCCCAGTCGAAATAGTGAGTTTAATCATTAAAAATGTTGAGTTTAACATAGTTTAACCAGCTAGAAAATGGGTGGATTTTCCAGTTCGGTATTAGTGAAAGTTTACCAGAGGGTAAAACAGGACATGGGATTAACCATGGTGATGCCAATGGAATTTCCATGGAGAATCTGGAGGTGACATCATAGAAGATGGAAAACCCCGAGTTTTGTTTGTTTGTTTGTTTGTTTGTTTGATTGTTTGAAGACACTAAGAATACTATAGTGTTTTATGCTATAGTATATATATATATATATTATACATATTATAGTTATAACCGATGTTATAACCATTATAGTTTTAACTACCATATATATATATATAATTATAACCAGCATAAACCCTACTTATTGGATTTATGTGTTACCAAGTTAGACAGTCCAATCGTTCCTTGGGGCCTCCCAAAAATGATCCCTGACGACTAAGGCAGATTGGAATCCAGCCACGGATCATAAATCAACGGAGAATCTTAGTATATTGTAGCATAAATCTATAGAATCTATAGTACTATCTGCTGTTTGGGGTCTTAGCTACCTTAGCTTTTTTTCCATATTCTATCTGTGAACTAGAAATTTTTCATATTCTATCTCCTGGTCTGCTATTGTATATTTAGCGCAATCTATATACTAAGATAATCTCTGTACTATCATTTCAACGGATAATCATCCACCTACCAAAAACAAAACGGGATCTCAAATCCTGCATCGGAAAATGATGGTCACCTGGCCGATTGCGAGGCAGCGGGGGCTACTTGTGGACAAAAAACCATGCGGCATCAGGATCTATAGAAAGAATGTCTTGATCTTATCTGGGTAAATTTCATCACGACCTCACTGCGACCTCACTGGGAATCATGGTTAATAAGGGAAATCATCCCCAAATGGCCGAACTATTCAGGTTAGTGAAATATTATTTCATTTACCCAGATCTTATAATCCTTTCACTTTCTGATCATTGGTTGGGTGTTAAAACCATGGTTCAAACCAGAAAGAAACTGACGCTAACCCGATAAAAATCCTTTCTATTTGGGTGTCAAAACCAGTCTGTTCATCATCACCTCGGCCACGTGGCCACGAGCTTCCAGGATATTCATGTGGTCCCTTTGTGCCACAAACCAATTTCAAATCAACCAACCATGTGGGTGTCATTTTACATCCCAATCATGGGGGTCTACCCTCTGGTAATTTAACATAGCTATTGAAAATGGTCAATAATAGTGAGTTTTCCCATTAAAAATGGTGATTTTCCATAGTTATGTTAGTTTACCAGAGGGTACTCAATCATCATCCTCTATTGGGGATTGGTGTTTTTTTTGGGGTTTTCCGTACCACATGACCCACGAAATCCAAATCCAAAAAACAAAATGCGCCATGAAATCGAAATCCCATGAAATCCCATGAAATCCCATGGATGTCCCATTAAATCCCATTAAACAGCCATGAAACCTCCATGAAACCTCCCATTAATCATCCACTCGACTTCCTGTCCGGCTTCCAGGATGGTGTGCAAGTGGCGCGGAAGATGGTCGAATCCCGTGAGTACGTCAAGAAGACCATTCTTGGATGAGCCAAAAAGACGGGCCGCCGAAAAAAAAACCGGGCAGTTCAGGATGGGGCCCCCTAGTTATGTTTGTTGGTTGAGAAAAACCCATCCAAATATAGTTCTTTGCGTATCATACACCATTGTTATTATAGTTATAAACCAACTTAGCTAACTATGGGGCCCCACCCAGTTCAGAATGGGAGGATTTTAGGGGTAAATGATAAAGTGGGCAGAATGGAGATGTGTGTTTTCTAGTTCAGCAACAAAGATGGTGACAAACAAGCAGAAACAAGTGTGGATTTGCTATGATTTATCCATCCAAAATTGTGGTTGAAGCGGAAACAAGGCGTTGACCATGAGCATATTTTGGGATTCACCTGCAACAATGGAGTTTTTTTAACTGGTGGTTGTGAATGGCGCATGAAAAACAGCATCTACAAATGTAAGGAGGCCATCACAGTAATACGAATTTGTATGATATTTTGATGATATTAAATCTATTGAAATGGTCAACCATGACAAACTATGACCTCTTGGAATCTGGATGGGAGGTTTAACCCTCTTCAAAATTGGATGGTGTTCTAAACCCAAATGACCAGACGATGTGTGATTCCGGTGCAGAATGATGCCTGTGGCCCCCCAGATTCCGTTCATTTGATATGAACCAGTGCAGAACCATCCATTTTTTCGGGACCCTCCGGGCATCAAAGGTGAGTGGCTGGAACATCGGCTATAAAATGCTATAAATATGGAGGTTTTTCATATGTTTTAATGGGAACATCATCTGGTGTATCTGTGTTTTTTGACCCTAAGACCACATATTTGTTTGTGATTGCCACGTGTCTTCAAACTTTGATCTACCCTCTGGTTATTTAACATAGCCATGGAAAATGGCCCATAGAAATAGATGGTTTACCTATTAATAGCATGGTGATTTTCCATGGCAAACTGTTAGTCATAACCAAATGTAATAGAATCTAAGCCACTCACCCTCATGATGAAACCCGATGTGGCAAAATGAGGTCCATCACCTTCCATGAAACTTTCTGTGGTGTCTCATAGGACTTGGGAAGCACAGAATTTTTTTGAGACGCCGAGCCTAGGGAGATCATGAGACACAGAAAATCACCACCGCGAACTCCATAAATCCCCTATTTGCAAATCTCCTGTGTTCCCAATAAGAGGGATTGGTGATCCCCCCATTCATAGGGATTAATAATCTAATACCAATTGAACGGAATTCAAGCAGTGGGATGACACATCCCCAATCTGGAATGATTTACTACTCTACAAGGTGGTGCCCCCCCAGTGATGTGAACGTTGGTTAACAAAAACCATAGGGAGTATGTCAATATATCTACCATAAACCCAGTCACGTGGAATTGGAGTTATGTAAGCCTCGTAACACTTAGCGATTTTCATCGCTCACTCGTACAGACCCTCGAATCAAACATGGCCTGGACGATTTTGGGATCTTCCAGCGCGCCGTGGAGATCATTATTCTACAGAGGGGAAGTAAATCAATCCCATCCTCCGTTCGGAAAAAACCCTGGTAAACATACAAAAAGCTATTGAAAATGGCCATTTATAGTTCATTTACCCAGCTAGATAGCATGGTGATTTTTTATAGTGAACTGATGAACTGCTAGTTTTCTATGGTCCTAGTCATATGTGTCTTTATCCCATGCATCCACCATGGTCTTCTGAAATGGGCGCTCGTGAAAGGGATGATGTAGCGGCTACCCAAGAAACTGGAGCCCCAGGCTGTAAGGATACCAGCTTCCAGCAAAAAACTCAACCTGGTTGGTGGTTTGGAACCATGGAATTTTATGACTTTCCATATATTGGGAATATCATCATCCCAATTGACTCCATCATTTTTCAGAGGGGTCGCTCACTCCAGTGATTTGCGCAGCTTTTGGCTGAGCCATGCTGAGCCATGCTGAGCCGCTCGCGGCAGATTGAAAGGACCGCCAGATATCATTGATCCATATTGATCCACGTTCTTAAATGCAACCATCTTGACTTTGAACCAAGAAACATAAGATAACTGGCGGGCACCACATGGTAGGGACATGTAAGCCATAGTATGTAGAAACCGTGTGGCCAAAGCCCAGTGGCACAGGTGTCACATCTTGAAGTGGTGCTCGGGCATCAAGGGAATCTATGGGCATGAAGAACTATGTGAATAAATGTACAGAAACGTCACATATCTAGCAAATCACGTTCACATTCCAGACTTGTACTGATCAGCTGGTGTCCGTTTTATTGTCCGTTTTATGTGGTTTAAAGTTTAAAACAATTCAACAACACGAAGGTAGATGTTATGTTTATTGACTTATGGGTCGATCTTCCCATGATCGGAAAATCATACATCATGATTCAGGATCCTTCCCATACCCTAGTTTTTATTGTCCTAAGATGCTCTAAGTATCAACAAAAAAAACCACCGTGTCTTGCAGATTTAGAGCTTCGTCCCGACTCACAGTTTTGAGCCGCCATGGCAGTACGGGAGGCTGGGAGCACGACACAGCGACGCTTGTGTTTTTTCGTATAGCCCATATGCGACCCATGGTGCTGGAATATGAATCCCAACATTTGCCCTTGTCCAAAATCACCCAGTCATGTAGGTAAATATACTAGCACCATGGAGCATATGGGATAGAGGATTGATTTAGAACTTACAGGTTTTTGGTGTTTCTTTAACATGGCATAGATCATATCATGGTTTGATAAGACTTGATAAGACATGATATGCAATGTTTTTTCTTTATCAGTATAATGGTCATATCTTCTTGATATGTTTCTATGATTAGAACATGTTTTGAAAGACACATCGTATCACAAAACATTGGAATTGAGGTCAACTCCCGTCATATCTGATTCAATTCCCATCCATAGCAACCAGCTGGTCACATCTACGTTTTTGTTGGTTGTATAGTCAACCAGGGCTGGTTTTACATGATTTCACGTAGAGGAGATCAAGAGTAAATATCAAATATAGTCCAGTATAGTGAAACTCTTCCATTGCTGTTGATGTTCGGCCTGATTTCAAAGTCACCTCAACTGCAGCCCCAGGTAATCCCAACGAAATCCGACAAAAAAAAACACATCCCCTGAAAATCCCACGAAATCAGCCGGGAACCTTCCCAGGTCTCTATCCACGACTCCTTGCGTTTACTGAAGACCCACCTGCCACAGTTCGGCGCGGCGGATGTCTGGGTACCTCGTAGCTGGCCCCTGACGCAGGGTGATTTGAGCAGCCTGGAGGTGGAACGGTGCATGGCGGCCTGGAAGCAACTGGGAGGAGGGGTTGGTTTGGGGTGGTGGGTTGCTTATACTTGGGGATAGAAAGCCATGAATCTATATAGATATGTCATATATATATATGTATATATGTTTATAGATATATCAGAATATAGAGAAATCTATAGATATTTTTAGCTGGAAACGAGCTTCTACAAGTTGGTGCCCCTGTGGCATGATAGCTAAGTTGGCGAACATAACCAGGTTAAGAATGATTTATGGTAGATATGTCATGATATGACAGGGGGGGAACCACCTGCTACATGGGGGAAATCATGAAATACATGTTCTGAACTGTGGTGACATTTAGAGTTTCTTGTGGCATTGGTGAAATCGCTTAAGCCACCATGTTGATTTCATCTACATAGCTTTTCAGGTTGCTCAACTCCCCATTTGTCAGTGGTTAACATCTCCATTTTTCCCAGTTCATAATCAACTTGCCTATCATTAATCAACTGAAACTCAACTTTGTTTGGGTCAATTCAGTTGAATTTTCCCTTCTTTTGACTGTTGAAACTTCCAAAATCATTGGTGAACTTCCCAAAAAAAAACCTCCATTTAGAGATGAGTTTCCATTGTTTTCCATTGTCATGTTATCCCACTAAATTTATTGGAAATATATGGAAAATATGGTGATTTATTGGACACATATGGGAAATATGGTGATTTATGGGAGATACCCTCTGGTCATTTAACATAGCTATTGAACATGGCCCTTAGAAATAGTTGATTTACCGAACTGAAAGATGGTGATTTAAAAAAGTTCGCAAACTATAAACGTTGACCATGTCGGGTAGTGGCTCAGGTGATGGCAGATCACTTGCTCTCCTACGACGCCTTGCTGAACTCTTTCCCTCCCTTGGTTTGGACCGGGACGAAGAGCGAAGTGGCGAAGTGTCTGGAGTTGCAGCGTGGCAAGGAGTCTACGGTGCAGGGAGTCACTTGGTGACCGACTTGATGGGAAACATGGATTAAAAATGGTAGAAACATCGGATCTTTCATGGAACACCATCGATAACTGGTTGGTGGTTTGGGACCATTTGGATAATTTTTCCATATATTGGGAATTTCATAATCCCAACTGACGAAGTCCATCATTTTTCAGAGGGGTAGGTCTACCACCAGCATCCACCAACTAGATAAATATGGAGCTTTCCTAAGTCATGGGGCTAGGTCCAGTTCTCATCCATTTATAGATGGCTTTTCTATGGTTTTTCACCATCCAACTGGGGTACTCCCAGGTGAGGCCCCTGACAGTCGGTGATGCCCCAGTGATGTGAACCTTGGTTAACAAAAACCACTTCGTTTCTGTTAATGTTAATTAATATCTACCATAAATCTACCATGGTCACCCAGTCACGTGAAATTGGACTTATAAACCATTATGTTAAATAGTATTCATATCTATAATCACCATATATTCAGTATGTCATTATATAATCACCATGGTCACCCAGTCACGTGAAATTGGACTTATGTTCACGCACCGTCACTGAGCAGCGATTTTCATCGCTCCCGATAAGGGCAGTTCCACCACCAATAACTACGATGACAGTCGGTGAGGCTCACCTTTCGCAACCAATTTCTGGCGAAAAATTGGCAAAAAGGGTGAGTCGAAATATGTCGAACTCTGTCGAAATGAATTTTTGGACTTCGAAATGACTTGGTTTAGTGTTGTTTGAGGGCACAAAAAAGATGTTGGTTGGTTGTTGGTTGATCTTGGTCGGTTGGAAAAAGCATGCTGATGGGATGGGATAATTTCATGTATACAACAACTTAATTTATGTGGCCAAACATGTTATTGCTGTTTTGACATTTGGCTGAATGCATGATTTTTTTCTTTTGGCTGTTGATGTTATAGGAATACGACGGTAATTATTTATCGCCAGTTCATTTCAATGTACCATAAGGTATCTCCAATATGATACGTTTGCTTTACAACCATCGATTTTGACAACAGGTTTTGCAAACAGCGACAGCGAAAGTTGATGTCATGTACCCTCTGGTAAACTAACATAACTATGGAAAATCATCATGTTTAATGGGTAAATCATGGTAAATCGACTATTTCGATGGGCCATTTTCCAGTTCGCAAACTGTTAAATTACCAGAGGGTATCTCCCATAAATCACCATATTCCCCATATTTTTACAAGAAATCACCATATTTTCCATATATTTCCCATAAATCACTTAGTAGGCGTTGTATTTTACCATAGCAGCTCGCCACCCGCCGCATCTGGAGTGCGGCCTCATTGGGCAGATTTTGAAAAACCGGTGTATGCTGTTGGTTGTTGAGCCATGGTTGGGGTTGAAGATCTTGAGGTGTGGCTGGCTACTTTAAATTAGTATCTTGTGAACTATCTTCAGAATCTTGCAGAATACTGCAGAATAGTGCAAGAATGACAGCCCAAACAAAAAAAACAAAAAAGACACCTTGAATGAAACCATTGTCTTTTTATGGTTTAATTGCAGGTGAGCACTTTTAGGCTGAGTAGGGCCAGATTCGCAACTTTATGCCATTTTTTTCACCTTTCAACCTTTAGGAAATCACAATGACTCTGGGCTATCTCTCTGAGTAATGGGCTCCCGAACCATTGAAATGATGTGAAGAGAAAAGAGGAAACGATGTGGTGGTTGTTTAGGGGGGAACTTGGTGCAGCACAAGTCTTGCAGGAAACTGGCGTAAGTTTTCAACTGACAGTTGAGCCAGGAAGCCATATGCCTAGGCAACCCCCTTCAAAGCAGCCCCCTTGGGGCTGTTGGGTTTATGGTAAAGATATAGATCTACAATGATCTACATGTTTTTTTTCGGTTCTTTTTTCCCAACTTCACAGTAACTATCCCATTATCCCATTATCCCATATTATCTGCCATAACTATCCCATGATTTATCTCCATGATGACCATCCATGGCTCAGCATTTCCCCCCGCCATGGCCCCAGGTGAAGGGCGTGGCAACGCACTTCGTGGCCATCGAGGCGACGACTTCGACACGCGACGAACCCGCGGAGCTGTTGAGCGTTGCAGCAGTGCGAGAAGGGGAGAAGGCGCCCATGGGACTCATGGGATGGGTGGGATGAGGGTTGAGTTGGTTGGAAAAACTCCAATGACTTTCTGGTTGGAACTTTCTGATTGTATTTCCAATATCATATAATGTAATTTTATATAATTGTATATATATATATATTATATATATAATATAATATGTGTATATATATATTATCTGGTTGGTGGTTTGGAACATGAATTATATTTTTCCATATATTGGGAATTTCATAATCCCAACTGACGAACTCCATCATTTTTCAGAGGGGTAGGTATACCAACTAGTTTAAAATTCCAATGACTTTGTTTTCTTTAGTATATAGATGTATGGGTATGGATCAATACCTATTAAAACCATTTTTAGTGGGATGAACATCCATTTACCAACTATTTTGGGGTTCACTAGGTACCAGGGTTTTGACCCATCCCTATATCTAGAAATATCATGAGATATGAACAAACGGTGCATCACTTGGAGGATCATCTGTAGCCATACATCAATGGAGGTGGCCTGTGGCCGGGGACGGGATTGACGGCATTGGCCGCTGGATACCAGAAACATCTATGGAAATAGGATATCCACCATAGTATTTGAGGAACAACTATACCTGATGTTGATATACCAGATGAGGTTAGATTATTTTTTTTTGTAGTACTGAAACCCATCGTATACAATTGCAATGGAACAACAATCAAACATATAGTACATCCAACTAACAACAAATTGTAATGATTATATGCCATAGGAATTAATTTCGCAGTATGGTTCGTTAGATAGTATATCATGGGTTAAACAATAAATTTGGTATATACATATTATGTCAATGTCGGTTTGATAGTCATGTCTTGGATCGTTTGAACGATCCTGGAAGTATGGAGAAGATGGGATGATCCCCGGGGAAGACATGGAGGCGTGGACGGATGGTTTGGTTGTTGTTTTTTCTCAATCATTTGTTGTCGTTTTTGGTAAAAAAACTTTGATGACTTAGAAAACTAACAGGAAAACACATGTTTGTATTGTCCAGTTTTGTGCCAAACACTGTCCAAATGAACCATTGAGATCACTTGGGCAGTGCTTAACACAAAAGGCACAGATGATCACAGATGGAAAACTAGGATGGTTTACTTGGATTTGTATCACGTTTTTGAGTCAGCTTCGGAAACCTTTTCGAAACTTTTCGGAAACATATTTTTCTTTTTTCGGGGGCTCTACCTTAGCTTGCAGAATGCATCAAGGATTCAAGTGCTTGTCCCTGCCCATTCCTGGCGTTGGATCATGCTGGACCGGCTGGACGTGAATTTCGCCATTCCGATCCTTTTTTAGTATGGAACCATTTAGGTTTCGAAGAAGGCATTTTTTTTCCAATCCCCAATTTTTGGAGTTTGCGAGCTAAAACCTATGACATATCTGACTATCAGAAAAACATATTCCACGGCACCAAAAATGTGTTTAATTCCCTACATTTACCAACATATTCTCACACATATCACTAAGTCTAAATATTGACCCATGTCTGCAGATATACCCATATATTCCCAACGGGTTTTTCCTATGTACTATACCCATGGTATCCCCAGGTGTGTTGTTTCTATGCGGTTTGCCGTGACCCACGGTGTTTTACCCCGGCAGGTGACGTATCAAAACACCTCCACCGTAGTTCCCATTGAGCTGGAAGATGTGGCAGGAGGGTGCTCTCGGGTGGTCTGAAGTGAGTTGAAGGATGGTTTGCCTCGGTTCATGGAAGTCATACGACCATTGGCTGGATCGGAACATCATCGGTAACTTAATGGGAAAACCATAGGAAAACCATGGGAAAATGGTGGTTTAATGGGATTTAATGGGATATATATATAATATATATATATATATATATGATGGGGCCCCCAGTCGATAGCGTGAACCGTTGGTGAACATAAGTGGCTGAATTAACTATGGTTTATGGTATGACGAACTAGTTAATGGGGATTATAAGGATTTATAAACCAACTTATAACTGTGGGGCCCCATCCTGTAAAACAAGGTCATTTTTACCAGCCATGACTGGGAATGGTAACCATATCAACTGGGAATGGTTTATATATACCACCTATAAAAATGGTGATGACTGGGGGATGGTGCAAATGACATTGTTTTACCCACATTACCTTGGTTGATGGGTTAATATCAATGACCGTAGTAGATAAACCATAGTGGGAATTGTATAACCCATAGTATGGTACCATTCATTGATAACCACATTTTGTAAATATCCAGGAGTTAATGGGTTTATAAACCAACTTATGGTTAATGGGTACCATATGAACCGTGAAAGTTTTACTCAACTGTTGCTTGCTTATGAGATAGGGAGTTGTACTACCTGAGTTGCTGGGGATTTTGATAACTCATAGTAGGGAAACTGCTTTCAACCAACCAGTATTTTGATAATGGGGGTTGATTATTGGGATAATATATACGTATATATATATTATTATATTATATATATTATTATATTATATATATTATTATATTATATATTATTATATTATATATATTTATTATATTATATATATTATAATATATATATATAATTATATATATGATTATTATATATATATGATTATATATATTATATATATATGGTGGTTTCCTAAAATAGGGGTACCTCCAAATCATCCATTTAAATAGCATTCTCCATTCTAAACCATCAGTTTTTGGGTATCCCCATGGCTATACCTCCATTAGTTTATCCAAAGGCGGGGTAAATTTCATCACGACTTCACGTCGCGACCGAACCCTTAGGGACATCATCTCCAAATGGCTGAACTATTCAGGTTGGTGAAATCTTATTTGTTTGATCCATATTATATATATTGGAGATAGAATGGGATATAGCTAACCAACAATCAGTGTTTCGGTGTGTTTGATAATGGGGGATTTACCCCATCAAGTGGCCATTGAAATAGGACACATGACTAATTTTAACAATGATGTTTTTTTTTTTTTGTGTTTTTTCTTATTTTCAGTGAAAGGCCCCGTTTGCAAATCAATGAGTTCATGCGGTTAAAAATCAACAGTGTAGCCAGGAATTGCGGAGACATTTTTTGGGTGAAATCTGGTAGCTGGTGATCAGCTACACCATAAAAGCCTTGGAAAAGGATCTATTTATGGTGTTCCATAGGATTTACCATGGGATTTACCATGGGATTATGGTGATTTAATGGGGACAAATGGATGGAAGTCCCCTAGAAAATGGAGGTTTTAATGGGAATAATGTGGTTAAAACAATGCCATAAACCATCCCCAAGTCATCCAAGTTATCACCATGGTGAGTCCATGGGGTGGTTTATGGCATTGTTTTAACCACACTGGTCCAGATACTGGTTTGTTTTCCTTAGTCATGGAGATCCCCAATACCTGGATGGTTTATTTCATGGAACATCCCTAAAATGGAGGATTGTTAGGGGTGTACCCCGGAAACCTCCGAAAAGATGGGGATTACCATCTGGTTATTTAACAGTTTGCAATGGATAATCACCATTTTTAATAGGTAAACCATCTATTTCTATGGGCCATGGCTTCCGTGGCAAACTGTTAGTCATAATCAGATGGTAGATGAACCATTCACCGGTGCTGGTGCAATATCTAGTCCTAAGTCTCCAGTTACTCTCCGGTAATCAACCGTGGCTAGCTGGAAAATCACCCATTTTTCGATGTTTTTTCCCAGTAAAACCCCCATTTCAAGTGGATTTCCAGCCAGCCACGTTTGATGACCGGAGGGTGACATGGAT